AAAATGTTCAAAAACTTCAATTAAATTGATTTTTTTATATAATTGATTTTTTTTTTTTTTTTTTTTTTGTCACCTTGGAACGTATCCCCTATAATCCCATATAAATTACGATTCACGGTTTCTCTATTCGCGGCATTTTTATGGAACGTATCCCCCGCGAATAAGGAGCTTTTACTGTACACCGTTTAAGTTGATGAATCTTTTTGTTTCAAAAAAAAGTTCGCTAGATAACATAAAACCGTTATGTTGAATTGTTGGGATCAGATCTTATTTTGAAAAATCTATGCTTAGCTAAGCGAAGCGGTGTAGTAGGGTATTTAATGGTGGCTTCTTACTTACTTGTCTTATCTGATTTTTCCGCAAAATTTATCATATTTACATTTATATATGATTTTAATTATATGTGAGCGAGTAGGAGAAGGGTGGGGGCGGAAGGACTTTTAAAAATAAATTACGCATAGTTGTTACGCATAATGGTTGAATTTGTCTTTCGGGGAATTCGTTTCAACGATCGGCGTAAAAATGATTCTAATCAGGGGGCAATTGAATATCATTAATTAACCAAACATCATTTTGCACTTTTTCGATATGATCGTCGATATGATGAAACTTGTTTTTTTTTTTTATTACGATTGCGATATAAATAATTATTTATAATTGCCGGGTATATAAAATATTCGATTTAATTCAAAAGAAAAGTTTTTCTTGCTTTGTTTTCAAGTTTGTGTACTACATATAACATTCATGCACTTATATATTGGATGCCGTGTGCGGTCAACAAAATTAAAACAGCAGACATTTGGCGCCCACCTAACATTCGCTCATGCATAGAAATGCACGTCTATAACGATTTGTACAAGTTATAGACATAGTATGATTTTAATCATTGTCTGGCTAAAGCGAATGACTCTTATAATCCACTGATTGAATTAAGAGCGGCAGAAATTTTATAAATTATGATGAGCGGCAGCGTATAAAACTTATTAATAAATTATGTGAAACCCTTTCTCAAGGTTAAATTAACTTAAATCTCTAACGTAAATTAACTTAAAAATTAACATCATTTAAATTATATGTGAAATTTTGACAATTTCTTTTTAACGTAACATCATCATTTTCCCAATCAAGTGTGTAATTAGTGGAATTTCATGAGAAATTATAAAAAAAAATTATTTCGAATATTATTAATTTATGTATTATATATAAACTATCCGGTCCGCCTGAGTGGTCGGGTAGGCAACAGTCTCGACTAGCATCTCAATGGTCGTGGGTTCAAATCTCAAATGCGCTAGAGTTTTTAATAAAGTCGAAAGTCTTAGATCGCTAGTGCGCTTTAAGAGAGTGCTTTTTTTTGGTCTTAGAATTTATTTTCTCGCTAAATTTTTAATAATAATAATAATAATATAAATTATTCGGATTTGAAGTTAATGAATTAAATCAAAAAAAGGCGCAATCATTGTAGAGAGTTAGATTACTTAACCTAATCTACAGTTTTTCATCTTACTTACAACAACAAATAATATCAAATAATATTAAATAGTTATCAATAGCTGTGCACGATTAAGGCGGCAAGTCCACGAATTTCTGAATGATATGAAAAAGATGAATTAAAATTACTAAGTAAAAGAATTATCATCGGATGTAATCGAATACTTCTATGCCTACTAAATTTTCGTTTAAAAAAAAAAAAAAAAAAAAAAAAAAACAAGTCGGACTACACCGACTGTTACATATACCCTGCACAACACTCTCTAACACAATTCTTACTTTTTTCATAGAACACACGAAAATTCTGCCTAAACTTACTATTACGGAACTGTATATTAAAAATTAGATCTCTTCGCAAATAGTCTTCGCTTCCGTAAAAATGGTTGTGCCCAAGAGGTTTAAAAATAGAGTTACATTGTCAAAAATTCAATAAAATACTAAAACTTCGTCTTCTCTGCTTTAAAAAAAAAAAAAAAAAATTCGTTCATATCCCTGCATAGAGTATGATTTAAAAAAGTAGGCGTGGCTCGTCAAATTTTGAAGAATTCATTTTTATATCGAACTACTATTATAGGCTAATAGTGAAAATCCTTATATAGGGTAAAATGCAAAAAATAGGCTGAAGAGGTCCAAATTTGCTACAGTTAATTTTTTTTTTCTTTTTATCTTAAATTACTATTATAATCTGATTGAATTAGACATTTTTGTTGTATGAGAGACGGTTCAAAAAATTGCCTCAGCCGGTCCAAAGTTTCCACATGGATTTTTGCTATTACCTAACCACTTTTGAAAATTGCAAAGGCTTTTGAAAATAGAGCATTTTATGGTCGAGTGGTCGAGTGGTCGAGTCGACCGATCTGGGCTATTTTCAATAGCGTTCGTCTTCGGATTAAAACACGTCAGTGTACAAAATTTCATCAAAATATCTCAAAAATTCCATCCTGTAGCTTGAAAGCGAATGTACATCGACAGACAGATGTGTAGATAGGCGGGTATAATATGTTTAAGGTGGGTCTATGTCGGGTGAGTCTTTCTGCGCGTTAGATATGCCCGCATAAACTAATACCATAAGTGATGTAGGATATTAAAAAAAAAATTGAGACAAAGAAAATGAAATTTTAACATTTTACAATATTGGGTGGGTGGGTTGGGCCGATATCGGTAAAAACCTGACTTTATTTTTTACTTTTGAAAACCTACAAAGCCACAATTTCAATTGTGTTGTCCCCGTGTTCTTTGGCCGGCTTCACCTCATTTTCAATCCAAACTTGTACGCAATAGTTTCCCGTATGTTCTTTGCCCAATTTGAAGCCGACATGTTTATTACTGCCAGCAGGAAAATGTTTACCGCAGACATAACAAGATGTGCAGACAGACAGACTTAAATTGAATCAAAATTTGATAATGATCAAAAATATATGCATATATATATGCTTTATAAAATCTTCGAAATTTGGGAACGTTTACGCTAATAATTATGTCGAAAAAGTCAAAACGAATACTAGGTCAATATCGATGATTAAATATTCCGCTTCACTTCGCCGAATACAATTCTTCATTTATTTTCGTAATAAAATACAAAAATTGCATTTTATTTTCACGTAAAAGCTTAACGTGTAAGAACGGAGTCCACAACGTGAACTGAAAAAATTTTGATTTTCTTTTCTAATTCTTCGCCTATTTTCGTCATAAAGCAATAAAAAATTCGACTTTATTTCCACATAATGGTCTATATTTCATGAGAAGTCTTTCTTGAGCGGGGCAGAGTCCAACTTTCTGATCCAGGATGTTCCAAATTTGATACAATTAATATCTGTGTCAGATTACTATTATGAGCCAAAGTTCGTTCATCGCAAAATATCGAATATGTTGCCGGGTAAAGGTCTACCAGTCGAAAATAACAGTTATATGGAGAAGAGTTAAACAAAATTTCGCCATTTCTTCAAAATTTTCCATATAAGTTAGGTCCGGTTACTCAGCGTTTCTTTCCATCTGACGAATGTTTCAACAAAATAAGGTGCTATGCAGGGAAAGCTTGTAAAATCGGGCTGAACTCGCCGTCACAACTATTTATCTTATGTTGATTTTTATCTTTTCGTTAATTCGAAAATCTATGATGGCTGGGCCGTACCATAGATTCCACGACTATGTACCAAAAGTGAGGGAACACATCTTAAATACATTTCGTTAGAGCGGCCTGCAACCTTTCGAAGAAAACAGTCCGTTGCTTTTCGAAAATAATTTCACCTTGAAACTCGATTGAGTTCTATAACAGGCACAGGATACGTCATGTGGCATAATTGAATGAAACTATCAGAGCGAGTCACTACTACAACGCGTATAGCGTTACGCATCAGAGAAGAGCCGAACTTTTTTTTCTTTTTCCGTGAATGAAGGCAGTGGGATATAAAAATCAGTTTATATTATACCCGATAAGGGATTACTGTCTCTCTCTCACATGATAGGGTGCGTGTAGGCGGCTTTGGCCATACTTGTTACAAAATATTAACTATTTGATGCCAGAGATACATTCGAACATGCGTAGAGGCATTTTATGTCTCTATATTACGTTCAGACATAAGGTGTAGGAATGGATTTGTGAAAACATTCTCTACTACATACGTGTATTGCTTGTGGCTGTAAAAATAATGCAAAAAAAAAAAGGCAAACAAAAACCTGATCTTTTTTGATCGTTTTATTGCGCTATCCGTGTACCCGTGAAAGGATATCAAAACCATTGCAATGTGTCTATGCATACATACATACATACATAATTTGCTATGGACGTAAGGCGGCTCATTAAGTAAACTTAATAATACGACTTTTTCAATTGTCGTCCAATCATATCACATCACCCACCATTGGCTTTCTTTCATTCATATCTATGCCTATTATATTCTATGCAATGGGAATGAAAAAACAAAAAAAAAAAGTTGAATATTTATATATAAATGTTTTATTTATTTATTTTTTTTTATTTCATTCTCTTAACCTGATGACCGAGTACTAAGTTGACTATGTGAGAAGCTGTGCAAAATAGATTTGCAATTACCTTGAATCACCCTACAGATTATGAAATTTGAGATTAAACCGATAAATTGTTGAGATCATGTCTAGATCAGTAGTGTCTGATGCGGTAAATATTTTTGTATCAATTTTAGCATGAACATCACACACGCATCACACCATCCAATCCAATCTCCGCTAACCGGTGAAAATGTCATAAATATTGTGACCATTAGTTTATAATTTATTGTGTGTGAGTCTGTCAATAGTGCTACGGTCCACAACTTTATTGAACGATTTTTTATGCGCTATATGCGAATTTTGACGATTATTTTTGTTTTTACAAGCGATGCCTAAATTTTAAGAAATGTAGTTAGATATAAGTTTTAAAACCGTTCACAAAAATATCGTATACAACTTTTCATTGAGAAAAGTTGAAAGCAGTAGGCTATCAGAAGCATGCTCCAGTGGTATCCTGCTCTAAATAATAATCATTGATTTTTCAGTTAAATGGAACCTTCGGATGGATCACCGCCGCCATCACTTTGTATGATACGTGCAGCTGAGCTATTTCCAAAAGCACAAATGGAGAAAGAAGATATGCAGCTCGCTGTGCCATTTCAAGAACGTAAGCAAAAACACACAAACATTAGCAAAATGTTTTGTATTATAAGCGTAAGCGTTTTTCGTTCATCTTTTTTTTTCATATATGCAGTTGCTGGTGAATCAGTAAAGTATTTGGGTCGTACTGACGATGGTGTTCTAGCTCTGTCGAATTATCGTATCTTCTTACAAAAGAATTCAGCTAAAGTTGAGACCTCCATACCGTTGGGTCTCATTGAGTCATTGCAAGCCCGGGATCTCTTTCATTTGATTATTTGTTGCAAAGATGCCAGCACTATAAAGTGCTCGTTCGAAACAGCTGAACAATGCACCGAATGGCAAAGACGTATCCAATTATCTGTAGGCGTACCTGAAACACTGGAGTCAATATTCGCATTTCCGTTCTGCTCATGGACATGTGATTCCTTGAATGGTGTAGGTATAAACACAAATCAATTTGTTAGCGGTGGCGGTATTGGTGGAGGTGTGATTAACGGCGAAAACGGTCAGTTATCTATATATCAAATGGCTGATTGGACGGAACGTTTGCAGCGCACTCCGTCACGCTATGAAGATGATTTCGTCAGGGAAGTCGAACGTCTCGGCTTCGATTTAAATGGTCCATGGCGCATATCCCATGCCAATGAGGATTTTAAATTGTGTCCTTCATATCCACCAAAGCTACTAGTGCCCTGTTGCATACCCGATGAAACACTGCATAGTGTAGCGAATTTCAGGGGTTCACGTCGTCTGCCAGCTGTTGTATGGCGTCATCATAAATCAGGAGCGGTTATAGCTAGATGCAGTCAACCTGAAGTTGGTTGGCTGGGTTGGCGTTGTAATAAAGATGAGCAATTGCTCAAGGCTTTGGCTGAAGCTTGTGCTTTCGATAGAGCTGAGCAATTGCGTTGCTTGGCTCAAGCTACTAACACTAATAATTCAGTGACAACAGCCAACATAACGCCACAACCCACTCAAACACAAATACCCTCCGGTGAAAGTTCACCGTCCAGTCTAGAGAGCAGCCATGAAGAGGTGGCCTTAGATGAAGTCAAAGTAATTATGATTTATAAAAATGCGATTAATGATTGATGGAAATATTTAATTTTTGCTTCTTCCTTCTGCTTCCAGAAAATTCTTATAGTTGATGCTCGAAGTTATACTTCCGCCGTTACAAATCGTGCTCGTGGTGGTGGCTGTGAATGCATTGAATATTATCCTTCGGCGGAGATAGAATTTATGAATCTGGGCAATATACATGTAATACGTAAATCTTTTCACGCTTTACGTCAGCTCTGTGCATCACCACCCGATGTTCCCAAGTATGTTCAAGCGTTTCAACGATCAATGAAATTGTTCTGTAATCACCATTTAAAAATTTCAGTTGGTTAGGTCTCTTGGAGAAAACGATGTGGTTTCAACATTTATCTGGATTATTGGCAGCCTCAATGACCGTATGTCATGCGATAGAAAATAAAGGACGCCCTGTTTTGGTGCACTGCTCTGATGGTTGGGATCGTACACCACAAATTGTGGCTACAGCTCAACTATGCTTGGATCCTTTCTATCGTACCGTTGATGTAGAGTTTTTACCTAATTACAAATTTTCTATTATATGTCGTTGAACTGTTCAATTTCTTTCTCAGGGCTTTCGAATTCTAGTGGAACGAGAATGGTTAAGTTATGGTCACAAATTTGCAGACCGTTGTGGTCATGGCCCAGGTTCAGACGAAGTTAACGAACGTTGCCCAGTATTTTTACAATGGCTAGATTTAATACACCAAATACACAAACAGTTTCCCTGCAGCTTTGAATTTAGCATGGGATTTTTGGTAAGCTATTGATAGGACGGACTTTCATATAAAATTTGCACCGCTTCATTTGCATTCATTTTTTATTTTTTATTTTTATTCTATTTTTTTTTTTCATTTTTAATTAAGATAAAACTAGCTCAACATTCGCATTCTGGCCTTTTTGGCACGTTTTTGTGCAACACTCTGAAAGAACGCATCGAAAATTCTGTATTTGAGCGTACGTTCTCAGTGTGGCCATTTTTGTCAGGCCCGCTCTACCGAAATCCTCTATATATATCCAATAAAAATAAAGTCCTATGGCCCGCATATAATGTACGCGATTTATCACTTTGGACTGAAGTCTATTTGGGCAGCTTGGGCGGCAATCAAAATTCAATAGATTTCCCATCCTACGCCAATGATAGCAGCTTACAAGGTTCAATTAGTAAGTTACATATATATATATATATATATATATATATATATTATATGCATACACGAGTGGTTGTTAATGGTTGTCGAAACCAATTAATTTACAGGTTCTATGTCAAAAACTAGATCCTATGGTGATTTAATAAGTGCCGGCATCATACAAAACGGTATATCAAGACGTTCCAGTGACCCCAATATGACTGTTGATCCAAAGTAAGTAAAATTGTTCATTTTTTTTCGAATTAATCGCGAAAAACGTTGCGAGCGAAGTGATTAAATTTAACATAACCGAATATTTTGTAATTAAAAAATAAATGCACGATACGACATACGGTATTCCCACAATCCTGTAACCATTAAACATGCGACCAATATACGAAGTTAAAAAAGAAAAAAGTTTCAAATAGGATTTCTACGGATTTATAACAAAATAAAAAGAAAGTATGAGACTTAATTTCGCACTACAAGAACGTTGACTGTTCGCTTTTAATGAATCGAAGCTAAGCATAATGAGATATTGCAGCATTCTTCATGTTGCAAAATGGCTTTAACTCAAAAATAGTGAGTGGACTGGAAATGACAAAACACCTGTTAATTATTTTCGGACAGGGAAACATATGCATATATATATATACAGCTTGATGCAATGCTGTTAACGCCATCCCAAAGAGGAAGAAATGAAGAAAGAGAATGATATAGGAAGGGGTGGCTATAACTTAGTGGGTTTGTGTGTGTGCTCAATCGATTAGTGTTGTCCCTTTGCCGACCGAACACTCACTATAACTACGACCAACATAAACTCGACCGCACTGATATTTGAACCCGCCAATATTGCCTTAGTCGCGGTTCTTACTTACTTGGCTACTTTTGCGGATCTCTTTACGTCTATATATATATATGGATATTTCCGTCAGTTATTGGGGGTAAAGCTTTGTAAATTGATTTCGTTGTTTTTCGCATTTTTTTTTTTTTTTTTTATGCATTGAAGTGCGAAGTAATTTTGCCAACTTTTAGGCCTTATCTGAAAATGGGTAATAAACAAATGACTTGAGATGTTGAGATCATAATTTCAAATGTGAGTAAATTGAATTCACAATCCAGAGAGGATTAATAGATTGAAGAGCTAGAATAGATAGAACATAGACTAATAGTTCCCGTCACTTCTAATGGAACAATTCATCTTCATTTTAGAAAGTGTCGACCCGTAAAGGACGCGAATCACATAGTTTTTCATTTCATTTCGATTACTTTCGAATTCGAATTTTTTCTTGATTGAATTATATAAAAAGTTTTTTGATTAGAAAAAAAATACCGTTCAAACACAGCATTGACTTGAAAAGTCTTATGACAATTTGTCGGCAATGAACGACCATAAAATCTAAGAATTGTTCTCGAAAACAGGGGTTGCGTATTTACAAATGGGCATCGTGTTTACCTACTCCGAGGTAATCAGTCACCACGCGATTGGCACGCTTAAATGGCAAAAGTTATTTTCTAGATCTAGTTCCTAACGACTCTTGTCTGCGTAACTTAAAAGAATGCTCAGGGAAAAAGATTTGGATCGTTCTATAAAAAAAGATATATGAACAATTGAAGAGACTATGTACAAATTGTGTACCACTCTTAAAAGAGATTATGTTGAACAAAAGTTGAATTTTGGGAAAAATTAAATTTTTTTCTTATTTAGTCCCGGGAATTATTAACGTATGTCTTATATATTCTATGGATTATATAGGCGTGATGCAAACATTTTAATAATTTAATAAATGCTATAGCGTTAAAGATAACTTGAAGAAGAAGAAGAAGAAGAAAAAAAAAAAATCAAACATTGTCAGGCAACATTAGGATACGTTTTCTATTTTACTATACTTTATGATCATAAAAATGTTACACTTTCAGTCTTACCATTGGTTCTAATTCAGAGAATAATTCCATTGCCGATTTGCAATCTGACGAACGTGATAATGAATCACCCGATATATTGGCGAATCTAATGCATACGACAAGACAACTTGAAAATTTAACCATCGAACTTAATCTGAACGATGACGATTTTCGATTGCAAAATAATAGCAATTCAGTAGCGTTGATTAGCACAAACGAATTGGAAGCAAATCATTTAAATTGTGAAGCGAACGAACAAAATAACGGCTGTGAAGAAATCAAAATAAATCAATTGCATTCAGTGAATCCAACAGCATTTCAAATGGATGAAATACAAATGAAGAACTCACAATATGGTTTCAATGTCAACACCCAAGAAGAAGAAGAAGAAGTATTGAATTCCTCCACAATATTAAATTATTCGAGAAATATTGATGCAAACATGAAGAAAACTGAAGACTTATCTTTGGATTTATTGAAAAGCGTAAATTTGGAAGGTATGTTAATATAAATTTTTGCACGATAATCGAACAGACAGATATATATATATATATATACATATATAAATTGTAATTACGTTATTTAGAATTAACTTGTAACGATTTGAAAGCAAATTGTAATGGATCAAAAGTTGCCAGTCTAACAGATGAATTGCAAACTATGTGGCACGGTTCTGTGAATACAAGCACGGACACTTTGGTGCCGTTAGCGGAATGCAAAATGCAAACTAGTAGCTTTTCGTTGGAGTCTCACGATATAATTGATGGCTTTTCACCAGTAAATACCTCAAAAAATACTCAAGAGCCTACGCAGACCGACGCAGATAAACGCAATGCAAATCTTAGTTTAAGTGTCACCAGCACAAATTCTAATATATTGCCAAAAGTTCATACCGCCAGCTTATCGAAACCTCATCGTTTAGCCGCCGCCATTGATACAAATAATTCTTCTGCCTCCTGTAGTACTACCTGTTCAATATCGACATCAACAGCATTAACCCTAAATAGTTCAATTGAAAGTCATAATCATCATAATGATGACAATAAAATTATTGATCGAATTATTAGCGATCTTCCTGCTACTACTACTACTACTACTACTTTATGTAATGATATGGATGAAAGTATTTTGATATTACCTGAACATGAAAAACTTGAAATCTCCGTTAGTGGCAAATGCGAAACAATTGTTTCAACGAATTCAAATTCAAGTGCGAATATGACCGTTAGTTCGGTTTTAACAGCACCAACTACTTCAGCTCTATCAATGCCTTATGTTACTTCGTTAGTCGGTGCTACAACCGCTCAAAGACGGAGACGTACCTCATCATCAAATTCAAAGCGTGACGGAATAATTCCCAAACATGTTAATAACAGGTAAATAGAAAGAGAGAGAGAGAGAGAAGAAAAAGATTAAAATCATAGATATAATGATGATAGCAAAACAAACTGACATTATCGATATATTTCAGTTACATTTCCCGTTTTTCATTACCTGGTGGCGGTGTACGTTCACTACCAATGACACCTCCCGGACTGACTGATCGACCATCTATAGCAATTTCCTGCCCAGACGGTTTAGCTCACGCGTTGAGCGAAGAAAATATAAGACTACAACAAATTGTCCATGAACATAAGGTAATTCTCTACATACCAATCGCAAACCAAGAATAACTAATGAAAGGATTTAATTAAAAGAATCTTTAAAATAAAAGCTTAACTTTATATATATCATAAAGTAGCATCCAACAAATTAATAGTAACAACAAGCAGAGCAAGCAATAGCCATCGATTAAGAGGAAATTTCGTTTTGTTGTTTGTATTCTCTCTTACTATATGAAAATCATTTTCATTTTCAAAGTACATTTTAATACTAATGTGTAAGAATATTCAATAGCTATTACACTTTTCTTTTCCTTGCCGCGCCCCTAATTACGCCCCTAATTTTCTTTTTTTTTTTATATTTGCTTTAATTTTTCTTTCTTTCTTGCATTATCCGTTTTTCAAATCCCGCTTTGACTTTCATTTAACGGATATGTGCGTATCCGCACTGAATTGTATGCCAATGATCCATATATCATATATCGCATATCTTATTCAAAGTATTATGGATCGCATATGATACATTTTTTCCACCTATGTGTTTTTGTCTTTTGTTATAATGCATTTCATTTAATCAAAAGTTTCTGCAAACTTGTCGAAGTTTTTTTTTTTTTTTTTTTTTTTTTTTTGATGGAAACTTTCAAGTGAAGTGTTTGACATCATTTTGATTATATTTTACAAGAAGAAGAATACTTATCCATAACGGCTGGAATATTTCCTCCTTTAGAATGTCAATGATTTGCAAAGATATCAATAATTCGTCTCTTTCAGCTACGGGAAGATGTTTTATTAAGAGAAATTCACGATATGCGTATGGCTCTGCTAAAGAAAATTTGTCCAAATTGCAATAACGCAGCAGCAACCACGAACGTAACCGCCACAAATGACGAACAGGTGAGCTTCATATAATAATAATGATCACTTATGATTTAACAGTTACTTTTCACTTCCTCAATATATATATATATAGATATATATATATATTTTACTTAAATATTTATTACTTATACTTTAATTTATTTTGCTATTTTGCTCTTCATTTTTTAATCGTGTAAATATAAATAAATAAATAAATTTAAATAATTAAAAAACAAAAAAAAAAAAAAAAAGAATTGCAAAATAGGCAAACGCAAACCGATTAATTATAGAAATGTAGATTTTTTTGTAAAAATTGTATACACTCTCTGCTATGATGCCTGCTATGGTTCTAATAGTTATTATATATGTTGTTGTTATAATTTACAAATTAAAAAAAAAAAAAAAAAAAAATGAAGTTTCAACATGATCGACGCGACTATAAAATCCAATCCAAGTATGATCATCGTGCTATTGAGTTATGCAGTCCAACTGGATCTCATCTTGCATATTTACGCGAAAAGCGAAAATCGCTTCCAATTTATAATGGCAACCGCTCGTATACATGTGACTTTTATCTGGACTCTGAGGATAAAATATTTAATTCAAATATTAACATCACCAATGATGAGAACGTTTTCATTTGCAATTCAATGTTAGCTGTGGTTAGTTCTATCATAATATGACGAAGAAATTTAATTAAAAGCAATTTGCTCTCGTTCTGTTTGCGAAGTAATTTTCGTTTCGTTTTGTTTTTTTTTTTTTTTTTTATTTTTTTTTATTTTTTTGATTGTTATTTTGCAATGTATTTAACATTTCTAAATTAATGCTTTGTTCTTAACGTTTTTTAATTAATGAATTAATTTTATAAATTTATACATTGGCGTCCATCCTATCCATCATTGGTATAAGTCATTACAGCAATACATTCTCTGCAGCAATCCAATTGCTGCAGCATTATGACGGCCATTATATGGGCCGTCTAAAATGACGCCTATTTTAAATGCTGATTTTCCTCGATGATATATGTATAAAATCGACTGAAGAAACGCTCAATCGATGGGACGCTAAATCGCATCCCAAACAAAGGTAGAATGAATAGCAATTAGATGTTTGTCTGTATTTTTGAAAAAAAAAAAAACAAAAAAAATCCCTAACTAATTGTTTTTCATTCGCAAACCGATCTCCGATTTCAAAATAGTCATCATATAATAGTCATAATAATAGTGATATAAAAAGAAGAAAGCTAACACACATCTAACAATAGGCATTTTTATTGGCCGATACAAATTTTTAATTGATATCGAATGCTATTGACGCTTTATGCTATACATTATATAATTACACTAATGGATAGAGTGTTATGTGCATTTTATTGTTGCGTTTGTAACACCTGTCAATGTCAATTAAATACAAACCGCAATTTACGTATGTTCGCTTGATTGTCCGTACGATCTCGAAAATTAATTAATTAAATAAAACTCTGAAATTCGTCATCTTTATTCTCAATTATCCGCATGAATAGTAGGAAGAGTAGGTAAGTGGTAAGCGGCTCCGCGTTCTTGAGTACAAATCTTAAGAAAGGACGAAATTTACTTTCATCATAGTAACAGTTATTAATTAGATCCAAAGCCATTATCTCTCCCTACCTCTTTCTCTGGCTTAAGACCACATTCATTATGTAAGAAAAAACTTCCAAACGACTAACTGACATGTCCCCTATTAACGGAAAACTTTTAAATTTTGATAGAGTTGTAGTTATATGTTAAAGAAATCTACCGCAAGGCGAATATAATTCAGATTAAAGTTAGAAAAAAAAACATAAACAGTTGTATTCGGTTTCCATCATTCTTTTGAATTTGAAAAAAGAGAAAATCATAAAAAAAAAGAATAAAAAAAAAATGCCAATGATAAATATATTTAAATGGGGCTGTGTTATGTACATATGAGGTATGTGTGTGTGATAGACTATTTCAAAAAAAAAAAAAAAAAAAAGGAAGAAGAAGAGACATTAATTACCTTTTAATATATTTGAAATCTTATTCTTATATCATTTTCGAGATCTCGTAAAGTATATTAGATGGCAAAGCAGTGCATCGATTGAATCGAATTGAAGATTTATATGTTTAGATCTGCCGAAAATTTCAAAAAAAAGAGTCAAAAAAGTTGATTGATGTGAACGATAATGACATTTTGCCGGCCTGACATCTTGCAGAGCGGTCCACATTTAACAACTTTGCAAGTGCAAAGGAACTTGGCGGCATCCATCATTCGACTGAACTCTCTCTCGCTCTCTCACTCACTCTCACTCTCACTCTCTCTCTCTCTCAAATTTTCATAATTATCTTTTTATGTTACCTCTTCGTTATTTAAGGAATCATTTAGGCCATTAAAAAATTAATTAATTAATTGATTTTCTAAAAAATTTACGAAGAAATTCCCTGCCCCTCTTCAGAGAACTTGAGAATGTTTCCCTTTAAAGTCGGATGAATGACAAAACAGGCTCTCAGATACTTCGAAAGCAACTTGTTTCTATCATTTATGACGAGAACATTCAATGCCGCATGCTTTTCATTTATGAAAAGTTTTTGTATTACATATACAAATAAATTCCGATAGCCTGTGTTGCTAGTGCTCAATGTCTCTTTTTTTAGTCTAAGAATTCAATTCATTAGTCTAAAATTAAAATAATAATAATAATAATAAATTCCTTTCAATGAAATTTTTTGCTAAATGTAAAGAGAGCTGTTGATGCTTAGAATTTATCGAAGTAGGCGTCTTCCGAATCGCATATTGTTGAGCATAAAGAATCCAAAGTTAATGTCATGAGAGCACATTGAACACAGCACGTATCGCACTTACGTTGCTGTCGAAGCCAATCATTTTTCTGGCTTACATGAAAGATCTTCGCGAGAAAGTAAAAGCCATTGGAAAAGTATGTGGGAAACCACTTACTACTTTCTTTGATGGTAGAAAAAATAGTATTTATATATATATATATATATATATATATGTACTGTTAAAATGCCCACTACGACGAATTAAGGTGATGGTAAATTTTTATATAATATATATATGAGTGTATCTATCTATCATTAATCGCATGTTTATTATTACATTTTAATGATTCTTGGTTTTTAAAATATCTTGAATACGCTTAATGGAGTATTGAGTTTTTTGAGATTTGCCTTTTAACTTCCAGTGCTCCGCTCTGGATAACGTAGAAAATGCATCGATTAGCTCATGGGAAGCGGTCGAAGATCGCAGCGGTCCGTCATCATGCACTACCAGTTCCTCAATACAACCAAACGCCGTCAGTGTACTTTGGGTGCCCGATCATGCGGTTTCTCGCTGCACAAGTTGTCAAACCGAATTTTGGCTAGGTCGACGAAAACATCATTGCCGGTAAGTTGCACGTACCGCAATCTTTATGATAATATAAAATTTTTTTTTAAACAAACTATTAAAAACATCGAACAGTTCCTGTGGCCAAATTTTTTGTGCTGATTGTTCCGAATTTTGGGCTCCTTTACCCGGCGAAAATCTGTTAAGTCCCGTAAGATTATGCGGGCCTTGCTATCATTCAGTAACTACACGGATGCAGCAGGTAAGCAAATTACAAAACATATTAACTAATCTCTGCTATGGACGGACTGTATGAATAAAGCACAAACAATCGACGGCGCAGGCTAATCTGGACTTGATATGTTCCTTAATACTAAGAAAGTAGGTTTACAAGTAAGAAAATTATATTCAACTGTGGCACGAAATCGCCTTTACCTGCCCTTTAAGAGGATAGGAAAGAGGGGAGTGGGTTGGGGAGGGGAGGGGGTTGGGGGGGGCTGTTACCCACAATTTGAGTAATGAATTGCAAAAAAGCCAAGTAGGCTTAGCCGAACTAACCGATTTGTGTCCGAGTGCTTTCATGTTTTTACCAAATTTCAAGTCAACTTTATATTAATATTTATTTCGGACCTGGATTTTTCCAATCCGAAACTTATTAATAATCAAAAATATATCTAAATAATTTGATGATACCGTATATTTTGACAAAACAAATTAATCTCCACTTTTTTTACTTTTTGAATGAAAATATTGTTGAAAAGATCGTTGGAAAAGACTTTGTTTATTGATTATAATATTTTGTTAGAAAAATGAACAACCGCAACAACAAAATCGCCAATTAATGACTCCCCTAGGTGGTGGTGGTGGCAATGTGCAACGTCAATATATTACTACAACAACAACAACAACCACAACAACAACAACAGCAGCAGCAGCAGTAATAGCAGCAACAGCAGCAACAACAACAACGGCGGTAGCAGCAGCAACAATAACAACATCATCAACAATATCATCGTTGACAGCTGTAACTTTGGTCCAAACATTAAACCAACCCGGCATTATTAGTCACACTCATAATTCTCTTGGTCTACAGCAACATCAACAACAAAATCAATGCGCTGCCGCTTCTATGAAAGTCAGTAATGCAACTTCAACTAGCGCAGCTGCCACAACAGCAACCAACTGAAAATATTGTTGTTGTTGCGTGTGTGATTCGATGAAATTTTTCCATTTTTCTTTTTTCTAATTTTATATTCGAAAAAAACAAAAACAAAACAAAAAAAAAAAAAACCAAACAAAAAGGAAACAAAAACATGAATCATTTCCGAACAATTGTCTAATTTTCTCTGAAGAATTTTAAACGAAGCAAAAACGATTACTTGCTTTCAATTCAAATTCCAATGTTGTTATTGTTAAATGTCTATTGAGTGTGTATTCTTTACATGTATGTATGAGCTGATCTAATTTTCCATGTGTAAACGTAACTCTTTTTTTTTTTTAATTTTTTTTTAATTTTGCTTAAAATTAATTTTCTTCCGCTTTTACTTTTTTATCTTCAATTTTATTTTATTTTATTTTACTTTATTTTATTTTTTTTTATTATTATTTCTCATAACTCGTTCAATTTGTACTCATAGTTCTATTTATATCCACTACAGAGGTTATATTAAGTTTGCAAATAAACAGAAAGAACTAACCATCCGATGTCCAATAAACTAGACGTAGAGCGATATTCGTTTATCTAACAATCAATCGAAAAACAAATCAAAGAAAGCTACGCATAGAGCAGCCTTGAACTCTTTCTTCGCTTTATTGAGATAAATGTCTATATACATATATATATACATATGTATATATATATATATATATATATATATATATAAAATCCGCGCAAATATTAGTCTACCTTTTAAGGATATTTTTACAGTAATTGTTTCGTTTCTATCGTTGCCTGTATGCATATATGTATATAAAAATGTGTTTACATTTACGTAACTGCCACACAATACATTTTCGTTGACAAAAACCGTCAATTATCGTAAACCGAACGTATTTAATAACACAAAAGCGAGTAGAGTACGTATTAAAAGATTCGGTGTAAACCGAATATAATCTTTTTTCCGTGTTTTTCTCGACATTTCTCTAATGCTATAAAAAGCTTTTTCTTAATAACTAATTGTGATAATTACTCTTACGATTATATCATTGCTAAATTTCTTCTTTATTCTTAAAAACAAAAAAAACAAAAAAAATTCCAAAAGAAAAAACTTATTTGCTTTAATTATTTAGTTTTTGTTATTTTTTATTTTCATTTTTTTCTTTTTTTTTTCATATTTGATCTTAGTTTAATTGCTTCTTAAATTTTAATTGCTTTTAAGATCTTTGCTGCAATAATTACAATTATTATTATGTGTAAAAACAAAGATTTAAAAAAAAAAAAAAAAAAAAAGAACAAAAAAAAACAAAACGACAAAATATAGAAATATATATAAAAACTTGTTGCTTTTAAAAACTGATTAAATAAAATGAAAAAATTTTAGTCAAAAATAAAATAAAAAAAAAAAAAGACAAACAAAACAAAATGAAAGAAAAATATATGCGAAATTTTCTGCCAAAAAATAAAAATTCAATAATAGTTTCATTTCTAGTTACCCGATATGAGAAATAATAAAAACTATCCTTGTTGTGTAAGCTTATGCGCTAAGATTTGATTGGACTTTGAAAATTATTAATGAAGATATAAAAAGTAAAAGAAGTAGGCGTGGCTGGAAAAATTCAAGTCACTTCCAAATTCTTTTGCAAATTTGTAGACGACATCTTAATAATCGCTAATGGGGCAACGTTTGCCATAAATACTACACGGTTGCGCAGGCAGGCAGAGAGACACGTTTAGCTGCATCCCACCTTTGAAGCTGCCCACGAACTTATGTAGTTCATTCGGCTTGTCGAGTTTGTTTCTGCGTTTTGTAAAAAAAAAAAAAACAAAAAAAATTCGATTTTGATACACTATAATAATGGGTAGGCGTGGTTAATGTTTTTCCTTTTTGGACATTTGTGGAATATGCGTTCAAACTTTTGTACATTTATCCGCTATAGTTTATGAGTAACGATCAAAAAATTATTTTTTTATACCTTTTGAAAAGCAGAGGTGTTCTTAGTTTACATGGTGCTGTCGGCGTGTCCTTCAACCGATTTAACCCATTTTCAATACCAATCAGCAAGATCTACCAATATTTTTCCCAAATTTGAAGTCGATAGATTCATCATTTGCGGCAGGAGAATTTCTACAACATGCATTTCACGGACGGACGGACGGACGGACGGACGGACATGTTTTGATGCTGATCAAAACTATATTTATTTGTTTTCTGGTGCTTCCTTCTGGGCGTTGCAAACGTTTTGACGAAGTGAACATACCCAGTATCCTTCGCTGATGGGTATTCATCGGTGTTTACAGCTACCCAGTCATTGATTTCTTTGCCTTCTGGCGAAGCAACGTCATTACGTAAGTTACGCGAAACTTCTTAGGAATGACTGAGTGTGATCTTGAACTTAAATTATCTCGTTCTCTTTAGCACAATGAATAATTAACTAGAATGGTCGACAAATCATATAATGTATGGACAGTAAGTGTCCGATAAAGCAAGAGGAATATGAATTTCGATTTTCGATACCCAATATCTTATAATAATTCAAATCCATAATCGAGAATAAGTGCAGGCTCGTTTGTAACTTGTACTAGATATGTCTTTTTGCAAAAAAAATATTCGAGATCATACGAGGTTTGAAGGTTAATGCGTACTCACGAGTATGAAAAGGTATGAGAATTTTTTTAATCGTAAACAAAATCTTATAAATTGAAAGAAGCAATTTTTGTCGATATCGTATGGAAAATCCTTCGCCCATTCGATACGATCGTATCGCTTCCATATTCCGTCACCTGAGCTAACTCAAAAACGAGACTTGTAAACTGACTGCAGAATTTTGCTGACATACACATAAACCCAATTTTTATGCAGAAGCGAAGAGTTTTAAAGCGGTCGCATGCTTCGAACTTTAATTTTACATTAACAAACACATATGTATCTGTTCATGTTACATGAATCTTTCACTTGAGATCTTTAGGAAAAAACAATACAATACATCTTTTAATATATTTTATTTATGACTCGAATGCATGCATAGTTCTACGTCACGTTATTTTGCAAATGCAAACTTTCGAAAGCTATGATCCTCTGTAAGTGGAATAACCGAAGGGCGATATCAATAACGGTACATGATAGTGTTCATTTTCTTGACATTGCACTGTAACATCTATGAAAGGATAAAAGCTGGTTACATTTTGTAGATTAAAATAAGGCCGTATGTCAAATCTCAGTTTATATACGCCATTTTGAAAATCCGTGCTATACAATAATTGATGAATGCGACCCTGTTTATCAGTTAAAGATTGATTAATTTCAAGCCATTGATCGCCGCCATCTTGCTTAATATCGTTTTCGGTTAAACGATACACAATAACGATGACATTGGCTGCCGGCTTACCAACGCTTGTATCTAATACATGAGTGGATATAGTAAGAGTTTCCGATTTAACAGCGGTTTGGTTTTCAGCTTTGGCAAGCATCGGCTTTAGTGCTGGTTTCTGCAAAGAAGAAAATGTTAAATTCATTTACTTTATGATGTGAAGCCCAAAAAGTAAAAGATTGCGGAAATTCTAGAAAAATTTCGATAAAATTCTAAAGGCATCGGTATCTATATTTCTAAAAATTATAAAATTGTCTGAAAAGCGTAGTTCGTCGTAATAAGTTAAACTTATTTAGCAGCATAAGAATTAACTAAATTGTTTAAAGTTGTTGTCTTGTATGTAAATATTTAATTTTACGTTTAATATGTTTTTCGAGCCACACATAATTAAATGATATTCAGGCACCTAGGCCACTTTACTTAGAAACTCATATACATTTTCAAACATACTTTTTCTTTTAATTATTACTTTTTCTTTTAATTAATCGTAACTTTACTATCTATGTAAAACGTTATTGGCTTGCTCCACTTAACCCCAACAAAACTAATGAAAAAAAATTTAAACTAAACCCGCGATCTTTATATTTTCTATCAAAAACTTGCTTTGAAATCTGTTCTTCTTCTTCTTCTTCTCACCAATGCAACAGAAGACGACTCAATGGTTTGAGCAAAAAAAGGACTCAATGAAACGAACACGAAATTCCCGGTTTGAATCAAGTTCGTCGCATAAGAAATTCTTAGAAACATATTTGTTTAATTTTTGGGTTGAGTGGAGATGAACTAAACCAATAAGGGAAATTTACTTCAATCCATAAATCGAACAGTGTATATGCATAGCTGCATAAATAGAAAGTACAAAATACATGACTTGCCATATTTCATTCTTAAGTTGCAAATATCTTCTGAAAGATGCCAGACCGATGGACATACGTTTCGTAATAATTATAATGAAGTTTGACTACGTTAATCAAGTAACTTAATCGTGTTCGTTTTTATTGCTTTCATTGCATTGACCGTTTCCTTTTTTTTTTTATTATTAATAAGTCCCAAGTGGTTCGAGCAGCAGCACTTGTGCGAAGTAATTTTAATCAAACAAACAGAATTACGTTGGCTTTAAATATGTATTTCTATGTCTGGCATAAATATAAGCATTTCGACATCTACATTTAAAAGTTAGATATTTAAAAGCATGCATGACGCGTATATGTTTTGTAACGAAAAAAGCAGGTGAGTGTCTTTTAAATCGTTTACCTACGAGAGAAGGGATGCGTATCTTATCTCGAATTTATTTATTTACACAAAATATTGGTTTTTTTCTCTTTTCCTGCAGGCAATGTATTTTTTTCCAATCTATTTGTATATGGTCGCGCTTAATATTTTCATTTGTTTCATTTGCGCAACCGCTAATTTATCGAAATAAAAAAAAAAGAATGTTTCATTTTTCTTGTTCGATATGGTTTATGTCTTGGCTTTTTGCATAAAATCTCTCCCAACTACTATTGATTATCGGTACACCTCTATCAAAATCCGCCATCAATAGAGGAAATCGCAAATAACGATTTGAGCGATTGAATAAATTATAGAGTTCGTGCGGAGCGAAAGCACTGTAAATATTTTGCTTAAAATTATTTCTATCGCTAAGGCTTGTATGTTTGAACGTAAAAATTAATGCTTTTATGAAGGATATTAGATCTAACTTCTTATATGGAATATGAATTTTGATCGGCATTCATGAAGTATCCAGTATAAGATTTGGGTGCAATAGAATTGGAAGAACTTCTACAATGAGTCTCTTGAAGGGATATAAAGATTAGCTTAAATTCACTTATAGGTGTACAGAGTTCATTAAAATTACTAATAAGTCTCTTCATGTTCCATTGTAGGATTTTAAAAACTTTATTTAATTGTAGTGACGTGAAAACGGAGTGATAGGCAGATTATGTGGATGTGTCAACATCTCTGTCGGAATTTTGCGTGAATAATTTACTCTTACCAGCAGAATAATCGGTACTTAGGCGGTTGCGTATATATGAAGTGCAACGAGTGGGCGCACGGGAATAATTTGAAATTGAACAAAGACTGAAATGACTGAGTTTTCGATGTTTCGATCATATTCGGATGCCCCTGATCAAAAAAGATATATATACGACAACACTTCTATACCTTATTACAAAACTTATCGCGAGTTTTATATATTTGACGACTCACCTTCCGCCCACTTACAACGTTTTAACGTCAATTTATGAGCGGTATAAACGCTTACGTTCTCGTACAGCAATAAATAACAATCACGTCATTTACATCTACGTTCAAATATTATTTCTAATCGCTGTTTAATTAATTCATTTATTTATTTCCAAAGGTTATCTTATCTGAATGCGAATAGTTTTGCATTTTCAAGCAAGCGTTCGGTTCATCTTACACATTGAAAGCATGATACATTTAGCATTGATATAATGCTATGTTCTGCATAAGCTATAGCTAAAATCTATATCTTGATCAAAGATTTAAAGGTTTAGGTTAAGCTTCTTAAATCTTATGTCTAGAGAATCGTATTTTTTTTTTTTTTTTTTTGTTTTAGTTCTGCACCAGTTTTCATTCAATTCTCCTTCTGTTTATGTAATATTTAAACAACAGCGGTACTCACAAACATTAATAGTCCATTCGAAATTATTACTAAAAATGTTATATAGATTTTACAAATTTTCCCCGCCATTACGTAAAGGTAGTAATTTTTTCCTTGACTTTCTAATCCATACTAAAAAAATCGTACAGTAATGAACGCTATAAGCTAACAATATTTATTCGCTTCGACTCGTCATCGGTAATTATGAACTTTCTAATACCCTAGACAGCAAATCAAGGGATGACAATAGATCGCAGAAAAAAATTTCTACCTTTACAGGATACTATCTTATATGCCCGTTTGTCATTCGTACTAATTTCTGGAATCAAAATTCTTGCCATCACTTTTATAGCAACCATCAAAGGATGAAATTTGTTTAATCGCCATAACTGCTACAACGTTCACGATTGCACAAAATTAAGTTAAAAAGCATATGTTGTATTAATTTGTTGACCGTGGATCGAGCATGAAAATGCAGTCAATTAAGTTCGAATAGCCAACATGAGATTATGACTTCCAACCAATGGCAATTATTGATCGAAGAACTTGTGATTTATTGCACAAACAATACGATTTAAAAATTTATTCTAAGAAAGGTACGCATCGATCTGTAATTGGTAACAAAATACTGTTAGAGGTAGAATTGTTTCATATTTGCTAACAGTGATAGACGTCCAGAAGATTCGATCAATGATGTCGTTCGGTTCAAAAACAATTCCTGCTCGCATTGATCACTTCTTAGCAAATTTCTCACTTTAATCCATCGATCGATCTTTCGATTTAATCGACAGATTAAAAATGCTGTCAAATAAGATCCACTGTAAATAATGCCCATTATTGTGCAAATTCTAAGTTTGTGTGTAAATGCTGATCATATCGCAGCAATTATTCTCTTATTTGTATACTACATCACTTGGTGTATATTAAGTTGTTTGCAATCTATTATTATTGTTATTATTATTCCAATCGATTTAGTCTGAACGAGTCGAGCTACTCTTCGTTTGTATGATGTCCATCAACGTATTTCCGTGTCCAGTGTAAAGATTACAATTTTAAAGATATTTTGATGAAATTCCCCCTACATTGGCACTTTTTGGTTCAAGGACAAATGCTATTGAAAATAAATTGCATCGAATCACTTTTATGGTCACTCCCCAAGGTGAAGACATTATGGCGGGACAAGGACGGTCTTGAACCATTTTTTCTTATACCTCATCATCATTTCATCATTTATTAGCGAAAAAAAGTCATATCTTGCTTCCTTATAAAAGTATATCTTCCATAGAAGTCCTTATATGGGAAGGAAATGTAAAAAGTGGTTTGAAATATTGAAAATTTGATACAATTAATGGTACACTACGCATTAAGTTTAAGAGCATTAAGACAAGGTCCGTAATGACTTAAAATAGACTCGAGTTTTTTTCATTATGCTGATCGATTCAGAATGATTGTGAAGCATTTTTCCTTTCAAGCAATGGCAGCAAACACATCTGCCGATAGCATTTGCTATTTATTATCAATGTCTCGTTCGCATTTGCGAAAAAATACTATTAAAGGCAGTTATTTTGGATGATCTTTTCTCAAAATCCAGCTTTCTACACACCTTGGCACAAGACGCATTCGCCTATTTAATTATATCAAAATATTTGAATAACGGCGACTAGGCATAGACAAATTTTGTGTAATAAAAAAATGGATCTCATACGCTCTGCATCTCACTCTGCTCGCACAAATCGCGTTTGATATATCGTCACTATAAAGCACAGTATAATAATTCATTAAATGATATATAGATTTTGATATAGAAATTGTCTCCCATCATTTCGCGTGCTATACAAATGTTGTAGAATAGTTTTTTTCGTGACTATAGCAATGTAGATAGAAAAAGGACAGCGGACGGACATGACTTTCATCATTCCGATTATTTGGACTAATCAAGCATTTATCCATTTTACGAGACATTCAAGACGTTACGTCTACTTGACAAGTATGTTGCACTCACTGGGTTATATAATCAAGTGAAGAATCGTACTAGTTATCTAAATCACAATTTAAGTCAGTTTACTTAGCAACTTATTATCTAGTAAAAAAATGTTAATTTCAAAAACTTTATCGTTATGATCTCATTATTCTTCATATTATTCTATGTATGTAATCTTTATTTCACAATGATTTCAAAATTAAATAAATATATATTTTCTCTGCAAAACTTCTGGTCCGTAAATGCTTAGGCTGGACGTTAGTTTTTCACTTTTAACCAATGAATGGAATATGATTCTCAAAGTACGATTCATTCATTATTCATATGTAATGTGCCTTCACTCTGCTAAGGTCTTTTCAAAACCCATCCTATCTGGAGGACAACATAAGTTATAATCTTTCGAAAAACATAATGAAAACATAGATCAGATCATGATACCAATAACATGGAAAACTGCTAACAATATAATAATCAATTTTTATTGTAAAGCGCATGATAAGAGAGAGATAAAACGCTCAAAACATCTTTCTTTCTCATAATTCTCGCTTGAGTAACCTTAACGCGTGTATCTTGCTTTTTTGTTTAGTCATACTTAACTATTTATTTCGTAACAAGGTACAAGCTGCTGCTATACCATTTCTGGTCATATCCACATTTGTTTTACTTTTTTTCTTCTTTCATAGCACAATCATTTTGAAAAACTTCATTAGCTTGCGCGGATAAAGTAATAGGAAAATTGTTTCGCGGAAAAACGGGAAAAGGGGAAAGAACGCCCTTGTGATATTATTATTATTAATCTTTCGTTAAACTTGACGGAACGCCTGGTTGATATTTCAAACCCTGGTAGAAGTTGAGAGGAAAAAGAATCAAGCAAATGGGACTGCCTGGAAGATAGAAACTTTTTTATTTTTCTCCTAATTCACTTTCTATTACCATTTAATTATATGACAAATCGATTTTAATTGTACCGTGTATTCTTTGGACTATAAGACGCGCTTCAAATTTATAAGATTTCGAATCAAAATTTTTACTTGTTTGTCAACATAATTCGCACTAGCGCAATATTGAATTCATACTCACTCTCGGTACTATCACTCGTTCGTATAACTTTCATCCCAACTATTATTATCACTCCTTTCAAAAATTGCGTCACCATCTATAGCATTACTTATCCCGCATTTTTTAAATGGCTTTATAAGCGTGTCTTCTTTCACAGCTTCCTGAGCTGAGTTTTTCACTCCGGGTATAAACTTTTAAAATTATTAGTCATTTTATACGTCCTGTTGCCGTGACATCATGATTTGGCTTTGCCATCCATTTAATCCGCTCATCTCGTATCAATTTTTTCCATCCAAGATTTGTAATTGACTTGTCAGGCCTCCAGAAATGACTGCGATTCCTGTATTCATTCTTTTTAGAAGTTTCGCGGTTGATTCTGCTATATGTGCTGATTGAATTGATCCAACACTAAGATCGCAGTTCTTGAATGTGAATAATAATCGCAGCTAAGATTTTGATCTTTGATAATATGTTTTCCGTCTTGAAGCTGATCGTGGGCGGTAGGTTTCCATCCGTACGCATAACAAGCCGAAATCACCAATGTAATGAGTTTTTTCGTGACTTGTTGTTGTTTTGATCTCTATTGTCTTGAGATAACTTGCGTCATACTTACCTTCAGTAGGGTACATAAAATTATCAACAAAAATTGCTACATATATAAATATAGCTCTATCTAGCTAGCTAAATTTATAATATTTAAACACTTTAACTTAAATAAAAATTCAAAAATCCGTCTTTATTGCAGGCAGACCTCGACGTTTCGATCAATCTCAAACTACATGATAATTTATGGGGAATAAGAAAAAAAAAAAATTCGAAAAGCCGTTACTTTTTTTTGATTTCTTTTCAATTTAAACAATTTACTGAGTTTGACCGCAATCTTCAATAACGATGCGCTTTGCAGGTCTACCTGATTGACCACCATATGCTTCCATTTTCTTGACCGTCTCTAGACCTTCTATCACTTTACCAAACACAACATGACGATTATCAAGCCAAGATGTCTTTACCGTGGTTATAAAGAATTGCGATCCATTAGTATTGGGACCGGCATTGGCCATTGACAAAATGCCAGGTTCCGTATGCTTCAATATGAAATTCTCATCATCGAATTTATTGCCATAAATTGATTTGCCGCCAGTGCCGTTCTGTGCAGTAAAATCGCCACCTTGACACATAAAATTCGGTATAATGCGATGAAAAACGCAATCCTTGTAACCGAAACCCTTCTCGCCGCTGCACAAAGCCCTGAAATTTTCAGCAGTCTTCGGTACAACGTCGGCACGTAGCTGCAAAATAAATTTACAACAATTTCATAAAACCGCATATAGGAGTTCTGTTAAGCAAATTAATTTATTATTGAAATCCTCGCTCTAACAGCATAACAACAACAACAATAATAATATAATATAACGTATGTTATATACGTTTTATGATCTGAGTATTACTTCAGTTCACCACAATCGATAATAACGATTTTTTTCATTGGACTACCCGCAGCACAACCAAATGATTCCATCTTCTTCACTACATCCATACCCTGTATAACTTGACCAAAAACAACATGTTGACCATCCAGCCATGGTGTCTTAACAGTACATATGAAAAATTGCGAACCATTTGTATTGGGACCTGCATTCGCCATAGAAAGAATGCCCGGCCCAGTATGTTTCAATTTAAAATTTTCATCTTTAAAAGTGATACCATAAATGGATTTTCCACCTGTGCCGTCATGATTAGTGAAATCACCGCCCTGGCACATAAAATTCGGTATGACACGATGAAACGTACAACCCTTATAGCCGAAACCCTTTTTACCCGTGCAGAGAGCTCGAAAGTTCTCTGCCGTTTTTGGTACTACGTCGTTGCGCAGCTAAAAATAAATAAAAGAAAATGAAAGCAACCACACATTTTAAACTTCCCGGTTCGTTCATATATTTTATATTAAATGGTCGAGAGGTATGCAAGAATTACATGTGATGTTTTTATTGAATAATGTTTAATTGAAATGCATTTGCGGATAAACTAAAAAAATAACAAAAAAAAAAAAAAAAATAAAATAAAATCAAACAAAAAACAAACAGAAGGCAAAACTTCGTTCGTTAATCTCCCAATCTCGTCATCCATAGATTCATCTTTTCCATTCACACGGCTCGTCTTTTTCACATTTTGTTTTGTTTTATTTTTGTTTTTTTTTTTTATTTCAATTCACCGCAATCGGCTATAATCACCCTCTTCTTAGTACGGCCCGAATCCGAGCCGAATGTTTCGATTTTCTTAACAATTTGCATACCCTTAACCACTCGGCCAAAAACCACATGCGCATCATTTAACCAATCGGTTTTTCCCGTACAAATGAAAAATTGCGATCCGTTTGTATTGCGGCCGGCATTGGCCATCGAAAGTATACCAGGACCGGTATGCTTGAGTTCAAAATTTTCATCATCAAATTTAGGGCCAAAAATCGATTTACCACCGGTGCCATCGTTATTAGTAAAATCGCCGCCTTGACACATAAATTTTGGAATGACACGATGGAAACAGGATCCCTTGTAACCGTAACCTTTCTCACCTGTACATAAGACACGGAAATTCTCAGCTGTCTTTGGCACTACATCTGAACGCAGCTGCAAAAGCGTTCATTAACGCAAAAAAAAAGGAAGGGGAAAGAGAGAAGAAGAGGGCGTGAAAAGTTAATCAAAAAAAAAAAAGAAATTCGAAATTCGAAATTCAATACAATTAAAGTTGTATAGGTGTGTGTTGTATAGATGTCTGATGATACGTGTTGTTTTGGCGTGGCTTGTTGTTGCTGCTGCTGCTGTCCCTGCAAAAAAAATTACTAAAACACCATTCACTTTTTTCTTTTTTTTTTCTTTTTTTTCTTTTAATATAGAATAGGATAAAGAATTGCTAGAGAATGTCTTTATTTCTATTATTATTTTTTTTTTTTTTTAAATTACGAGAATTTGGAAATTTTACAGTATTTATCTTTTGCTTTATTAATATTTTTGGATATTTTACTGTTCATTTTCCCTTCTTTCCGTTATTTCACTTTTAGAATTGGAAATTAAGAGGAAATCTTATTACTTCCATCGTTTTCAATATCAAGTGCATGATGATTATTTAAATTTAAATGCGCTTTTTCTCTCTTAAAAATATAAACAAAAAAAAAAAAAAAAAAAGAAAAAGAAAAAAACTTGAAATATTAGGGTTTATTTGTTGTTTGTTGTTGTTGTTGTTGTTGTCGTTGCCATTGCTGCTGCATTTGTATATGCTCTGCTTACAGAGCACCGCAATCAGCAACAACAATTTTTTTAGTTGTCTTTCCTGATTGAGTACCATAGGATTCGATTTGTTTGACGACGTCCATGCCATCGACGACTTGGCCGAAAACAACGTGTTTGTTGTCCAACCAGGAAGTCTTAACAGTACAAATAAAAAATTGCGAACCATTGGTATTAGGTCCGGCATTGGCCATAGACAAGATGCCGGCGCCAGTATGCTTCAAAGTGAAATTTTCATCAGCGAATTTGTTGCCATAAATCGATTTGCCGCCGGTGCCATTGTGATTTGTGAAATCGCCGCCCTGGCACATGAAATTGGGAATGACGCGATGGAAGGAGGAGCCTTTATAACCGAAACCTTTTTCACCAGTGCATAGAGCATGGAAGTTCTCAGCGGTTTTGGGCACAACGTCACTACGAAGCTGAAGATTAAAGAAAAGTTTTTTTTTTTTTTTGTTTTTTTTGTTATTTCTTTTAATTTTATTGAACCAGTGTTAAAAAAGTATATTATTATTACACATACTTTGCACCTCAATTCAAAATTGTAGCACACATGCATACACGTACACGCAAACCCACACAGAATTTTATATATTTATATATACACGAATTTCAATTTCAGGAAACACATACTTTTGCATCATGTACACCAATCACCACCATATATATATATGTATATATGTATATAGATTTTTTTATTTTATTGTATGAATCATTAAATATTAAAAAGGCTTTTAGCATGCAATACATTCATTTGAAAATGTACACTTGTGTGTTGTTCTACTGCAATTGACCACAATCGTTAATAATAATTTTCTTTGTTGTCTTTCCTGATTGATTGCCCATTTGTTCCATTTTCTTAACCACATCAATACCTTCTATAACTTTTCCAAAGACGACATGACGGTCATCCAACCAAGCTGTTTTTACCGTACATATGAAAAATTGTGAGCCATTTGTGTTCGGACCCGCATTAGCCATTGACAATATACCGGGACCGGTATGCTTGAGGATAAAATTTTCATCGTCAAATTTACTGCCATATATCGATTTACCCCCAGTGCCATTGTGTGCCGTAAAGTCACCACCTTGGCACATAAATTCTGGTATAATACGATGAAAACTTGATCCCTTATAACCATAACCTTTCTCTCCAGTGCATAATGCTCGAAAGTTTTCCACCGTCTTTGGAACAACATCTGGGCGCAGCTACAACACATAATTGCACAATTTTTAAAACCATGTTATTGTTTATTACCAACTTTACTGGTCAGTTGCAAAGTTACACGTCAAGCACTTAACATATACAAATTTCACTTCATGCATTCTCCTCTCATCACACAAGGCTCGCACATAACAAATCTTACAAACCAAACTCTCAATCATCACTTATGTATATACGTATTAAAATTAATAAAACTTAAAAACAATACAAAAAAAAAAAAATAAATAAATAAATATATAAATAAATAAATATATAAATAAAGAAATAGTTACAATAAAGTAACAGAGGCATTTTATAAACACCAACCGCTACTGCACTACAACAAATTTCATTTTTTATTCGATAGCAAAGACATACACAACAACAAATTGATAATGCTCACGAAGTTAGAACGAAGAGTGCTAACAGTGTGCTCAACCTTTAATGTGACAATCTTTTTATCTCTTTATCGATCCACATGTTCATACAATTATTAATAATCAGCCGAGAAAACGGTTGTGCATCCTTCCCCCTCCCGTTTTCTTGTAATGTTTCAAACCATCCTCTGCTCGGATATCAATGTAAATAATTTCGCTTTTACTCGACCTTGATCTAACATACAAGCAGGGATCGGGATTCGGTTTACGATTCTCGCGCCTATCGAACTTGCATTTTGTATTGATGGTACCCGGATAGCGGCGTTATTTTGCTATATATACATACATCGATGATATCACAAATATTCTCCATACAAATTGCAATCGAGTACCGTCAATCCAAAATGCGATCCTGTCGTCTTTGCCGTCGTTTGTATTGTACAATAATTCAGTAACGAGAAGCCCGTTAATCCGGCCCAGCTCAAAAAATATCGAATTTAGATTCCTTTTAATATGATTTAATTTATGCTTCGAAAATGCAATCCATTTCGTATTCAATATTTCCATACGCAGAATGTACCTATTATTAAACCCTATGTATATATATATATATATATATATCCTTATACAGGCCTTTTTGTCTGCTAGCACTTTAATAAAAGACCGACTCCCCAATGATCATTGATAAATTATATGCTGTATAATATAGTGATGACAATAAACTAATCCAGCTTAGTGTAGTTGCAGCTCAGTGCCGATACAGTATCCCTCTACCCTCCGTCTCTTCTATCCGTTACTATTTGCGAAAAAAAAAGTTTTTCAAACTTTTCATACACTGCGGATATGACTGTACTTACTTGTATTTGTAAGCCTCCGCAAGCAATTTTAATAGATTTAATAAAATTCTTCCTCTCTTTAACACATTCGCGGACGTGAATACGCTGCTATAGCATACATTTTCATTGTGATGCAAAATGCCATGGCATCATCATACTATACAACATTTACACTTGAAAGACAATAATTTTTCATTTAATTTAACATAACCGTCGGCTTTTTTTTTAATTATTGTATTTGCCGAAATATTGATTCAACTGCTTCTTTAGGTTTTTCCATATTATTGCAATTTTTTTTTTTTTTTTTTCTTAAAGCGCTTTTAAATTCATCAATTTCATGCAAACTAGAAAGAGACAGAGAGAGAGAGAGAGGTTTTTCTCATTCCTCATTTTTCTCTTTTATATTGAAATGCTATAGCATTCATGTAATTTCAGTTGAAAAATTTCATTTAGAGATATAATCGTGAATGCTATATAATAGTATGCTATATGATCTTCTAATTACCCTTAGAAAATGTAATTCAATCAGAGATTTTGGATATCACAACTAATTTCAAAAAAAATCTACAATAATTTTTTGCACCTTACTGAAATCCTTATTGTTGGCGAACGTGTTAAAATCACTTAAAAAAAAAAGTGTGCAACAAAAATATTTATAGCAATTCATAATCTCAGCAGATAATATAGTTATGAAACGAACATTGTCGTCATGCCTTTAAAAGGAGAAATGATTGAAATTCTTTTCTATTCGTTGCGAAAAAATAAAGTTTTCAAATGCATTTAAGTAAAGTAATGAAAAGTTTAAGTGAATCATAGGCAAGTATCTCTTTTTTATACAAATGCATTCTAATGACATCATATGGCATTATAACGTAATTTGCATTAATATACAAAATCGATTGCCTGCTATTTTTAATGATATTTTAATGTCCTTTACATGAAAAATTGCCCTCCGGCCAATCGTTCGTCTGGTAGATGCACCACCTATTTAACCAAAAATCGTTGACTGTTATGTTTTTCTTTTATTACATGCATATTCCATGGAGGGTGAGTGCATTAGGAAAACAGAGTTAAGTAGGTTTCAATTACATCGATAGGCTTAATGTGAATAAAACGCTGCCACCATTTCACCATTCACTACTGCAGATTAATTATGTGAGTTCGCGCGTAACGAACACATATATATATATATATATATATATATCTTAAGTATATGAGAAGTTTATGTATCCTTTCGTCGTTAAGAAATTCTTTTGATAAATGTCGAAGACATGCCCCCGCCTACTTTATTATAACAAAGACAAAGAGATTCAAATGCCACACTGGCAAACACTGATCTTAAACGATCATGAGTTCAAAGATACGTTTAAATTTATTGCGTTTGTTTGGGAGGAGGAAGATATGTGGAACAAACTAATTATTAAAATATATTTGGAGATATATATACATATGTATATATATATTTTCGTTTATTATTTTGTAAACGATTTCACACAACCTTACAAACGTTGAAACCAGATTTACATACATGGAACCGTCGAATGTAGTGAATTGATTAAAAAGCAATTTTAAAAACACTTTTAAATAATTAAATTTTGAAATAAATAATAATAAATAATAATAAATAATAATAATAATTAAATTTTGATTAACATACTACACATTCAGCTCGACTCTACTATTTCAGCTCGATGACTCAATGCATATAAATATGACTGAAGTGGCTCAGAGTCGGTTTATACTTACTCGTAACAATTTTCAAGATTGCGACCATAATCAACAAAAAAAAAAAAAAAAAAAAATTAAAACTCTTTTCTCACGTCACGTTTTTTTTCCCCCCTTAAACAATTTGAAATTCTCCTTTCTTCTTCTTCTTCTTCTTTTTTTACGATAAGCATCATCATGTGGTACCTTACGTAGACAGCGTGTGTTATAAATGCCGTACTGAATGCAAATGTATTTGATGTCAACAAGCATTATCTTTTAATCAATTGAGAGAAGAAAGAATGATATTGTTTTAGTAAAAAAAAAAAAAAAAAAACTCTACCGCCGGCATCATACTTCACGCTTTACAAACTCTCGTTTACTAGATCGCATTTGACACGAGGTAGAAGTAGGTAAGGCTATGACATAAAAGAACTCTTTAAAATGCACCTTCTTCTGAACTCATGCATTTTAAAGGTACATCACAAAAACAGATTAAATGAGAGAAATGTATGTTTTTCTTAAAACGGATATTCAACATTTCCCACCGGAAAGTGAGTAAATAAATTGTCACGATTGACTCTTCCCTTCGGTTTTCAGCTATTTCAGTTGGCTTCTTCATAAGCGATGAAGTCAATTTAAAAATTTTGGTCACTAAAATCGAGTATGCTATGCCTTAATATTTACGGATAGACGAGGGTGGCTATACCGTTACAGCATTTTACATTGGTCAAAAGTATATACAATTCCCCAAATTTCTCATGTGATCAAATTTATATGTCGTTAATTCTCTAGCGATAAGTAAAAAATTAGTAGAACTTAGCATTTCGGTATCCAAATCAATCAATGTTACGTGCGCACCACACATTCCTGCTCAATACATGCATACATACATATACATATATACATACATATTTCGTCTCATTTTGTTACTATCGATTTATGCTTGCACACTTTTTAGCAATTTTTTTTTTTTTTTTAACTAACGCTAATAACCTTATGCGGAAAAACCTCTCTTTTGCGATTACGTACTGGACGACACAAAAAAAAAAAAAAAAGTATACCTGCACCATATATTCTTGGGGTGAACAAAAAAATTTGTATAGAAGAAACGTGGACACATAAACTCATGCGCTATACTCAAGGTCACAAATAGTCATTAACATCCGCACGACACATGGCTAGCAATTTTAACATTTGAATCTCTCTTAAATTGGAAATCTCCGCTCAAAATATAACGCTTTGCTTTAATTAGTAAAAAAAATATTTAACTCATTTATCTATCCTTCTCTTTCTTTATGCAAAGCAAAAGAATGTAATGGAAAATTCCAAATGTACGCAAGCGAGAATTTTTAGCTGAACACCTTTAGAGGTTATAGTAAATTATGTTTTTTATACAAAAAAAAAAAAAAAAGAGCGGGAACATTACTGAATGAAATAACGACTCTATGCGAAAGTTGACTGGAAAAATTACCTTAAATAATTCTAAAATTACCAAAAAAAAAAAAAAAAAATCCGGAAACATGAATATGCAGAATCATTCTTCAAAATGTGATTGCTGTATTGCAAGCAAATTGCACTTGAAAGCCACCGAAGTTATAATACGTAAATCTCCTGTTTTCTTTAAAATAACCTTCAGAAAAACAATTATTTTCTCAAGCTTCATATAAGAAAAGTTGAAAAAAAAAAGAAAAAATGTTCTCATGTCTTTCATACATAAACCCAAACACAGCAATACACACCCGGCGTTCATGCACTCCCACATTTAATCATTAAATATATATACATATAGACTTGCGGTGGCGTTGGCCGCTGCCGTCCATTTTACAATTTGTAAGTAGACTGCGGAAAAACGCCAACCAACCTAACCCTACTTTCTAATTTCTCATTGCTGTTTGAAAGCAAAAAAAAAAAATTCTGGAAAAGTTACTACATACCACACACGCTCACGCTCGTTATTTCACTTTACACATTCAAAAAAAAAAAAAATTGTAATCACACAAAATAAAAAAAGCAATTATGTAAAAAAAAAATAAAAAGAAATTTCTCGTCATGCTGAACATTAGAAAATGGGAATGTGTATACTTACTTCCATGACAATGCGTCCCAAGGGTTGACCGTCAGCGGTCATGTCGAAGAACACACGAGGTAAGCCCATTTTTCCTTTACTTGATAAATTGCGTACACTGAGAAATCTGAATTGAAACTGACTCGTTTTAATTGCAGCTAGCGACGAAGCTGGTTTTCTGGCCAAAATGGCGACCGGCTGCGACACTCCAAATGTCATTTGACAGCATCGTGCCAGTGTTGCCCCTAAAAAAGACATTTTTATTGTAATGTTGTACCTTCTAAAGCAGTTCTCCTTATATCGATGAATTAAAACTTCGCGAGGATTTGCGTTGATTTCCTTTTAACGCTGTCCTAAGTTCTGTTAAAACTCTATTAATTGAAAAAAAAATTTCCACGTAACGATTTAGCGGTTTTTTCCTTTTTGGAGATCTTACGTAAAGATTATATGGTTATATTACCAGAGTTTTGTTTTTTACAATTTAAAAACAAATGATGCCAGCTGTTTGAAAAATCGAATTACTATTGAGATTATCTTTAGTGCAAAGATTACGATATATAATGAAATTTATTTGAACGTAAAGAAAGACTTATTATTGATATGAGAAAGTTAATTTTATTCCACCTAAAAAATTGTCAAAAACCATTTTTTATTTATATGCATATATTTGAATATACGAATAAATCCGTCATGAAAATTGAACGTGTTATATAAATTTAATTACTCGCTGGCAACTATTGATCTAAAGTATTCCTGTTTCTAGAAACTGTATTACTTTTCTTCTTTTCCTGATCATTGTGAGATTAACAAATATTATGTGGATGCTAATGAATTTTTGGGGGTTCTCCATCTAGTTACAAAATCGAAATCTTTTTTGGCGGTTTTATTTATGGGCTCTAAACCGCCTAACATTTGAGACGATAAAAATGCTGTTACGTATACGCTTTGACGTTCTTGTAAGTTTGTTGGAATTATTATATTCCGATTCAGTGATTATTGCTTCAAATTTTTTTCGTAATATGATCGTATCTGTGCAAGCACTCAATGGCTTTATTTTCTTGTTAAAAAAATCTTGCTTCTTCAATGTGCACGATCCGCATGTCATTTTGGTACGCATTACTCCTGGCTGACGAAAAATCCGTTACTCGGAAGCTGATTTTAGATGTGTGGGCGGCGAGGATAGTAGTAGATCCAAATCGATTGGACCTCATTAATCATTCTTTTGCACGATATTTACTTGCGAGCTTTTGGCCGAATGAGATGATTTTCACTTCAAATTTTTTTTCATTGCGAATAATACCGAAGCACTTAACACTTAATTTATATAAAAATAGTCGCAAAAGTTTGAAATTATTATTAAAATGCCATATCATATCCAATAAAAGGCTGTAGCTGGTGTTGAGCTTACTAAAAACACTTTAATCGTTTGGTAAATTAATAGCGTTTTTGCAAGACACCTGGCAATCTTAAAGTCGATTATGTGCAAATATATGAAAAAAAAGTAATTCCGTCGAAAAGGAAAAAATATTCAGCATTATCGGCTTAGACTATGAGTTATTTGTTATTCAAATTTATGATTACCGGTTATTCGTTAAAATTTGTTCAACAGTAGTATCAGTTTGTTGGCAAATGTGCTTTAATAGAAAATAAAAAGAAATATTTGAAAGAAGTGTTCGAAGAATAACTTTCAATCGTAAAAATTTGTACATTCTTATAAAAGTTATTTCAAATTGAAGACGTAGGCATACAGGTAAACTTTAACCTTCAATAAGCACTTAAAAAATTGATAGAGAAAAATCGAAGGATTTTTTAAAGAAAAAAGCAAATTAAAAATGCAGCTAATAATGACTAATTTAAAACTTTATTTATAACAAAGGCCAACGAATAATTTCTGCAAAAACTATTTATAGCTTTTAATACAACAATTTTATACATAATGCCGTCTTGCGGTGGGCCCGTTTATCAACCAACGACAGTCTCTTATGAGCCAAGAACGACTGGTAACGGAGTGGGCGGTGGTTTAGGATTTTTGGCTCCTGCCTCTTCGTTAGGTGTTAATTCGCCGCTACGTCTACTCCGTAAACCCCGATCTCAGTTGGCTCTGCTAGTGTTTGCTCTCCTGTCTTTGTCAGCTGGTTTAGCGATGTTGGCCAGCGGTGCTGCTGACTGGGTTGAAAGTCAAGGGTATGTGAAAAGCCAAATTGATAAACCTGTTGGAAATACGAATATAAGTAGTGAGCACGAGACACATTTAGAAGTTATTAATCCCTGTCCGGATATACCATTAGGTATGTTACTGGGCGGTGTTTTTCTAATATGTTTGGGCTTGGTTGGTTTAGGTAAATTTTATTAGAATTTCGTTGAAGGATCATTGCAAATTATTGATGCATTTTTGGCGATTTTAGGCATTTATCTTAAAGTGGCTGATTGGCGTCGCAATTGTGTTTGTCCCTGTTCGTGTTCATTGTTTGATAAAAAGCAATCATTAGCAAGACAATTGCAGTGTCAAAGTGGTAACGGTGGTTGCGGTCAGGGCGTTATGGCTTTGAATCCTTCGACGGATCCTTTAGTCTCGCACACACAATACGCTCCAGTTTCTGAACTACCGTCTTTACGCGCCGAAGACGAGGAACGCCGCAATTTAATGCCCGACAATAAAGATTGGTAGGTACTGACAGCAATACTCATCGACATATGCATGCATACATATATATGGCAAGATGATTTTTGTCGATATTAACAAACAATGTATAATTTTTTTTCATTTCTCTTTCGTCATATTAGCCTTAGTAGTGCTGAAGAATCAGATCGTATGCTTGAGCCAGATCCAAGAATTGTTTTACGTCCTATGGGTCGTGTTGAGGATGCTTAAATCTCGAAAATTTACGAAATATTTCAAACAGCGCGAGCATTCAATTAATATATGAATCAAATATCAATAAGAGACAACTTAACTTAACAAGTATGATTAAATAAGACGGGCAAATAGGTTTTACTTTAATAAAAAAAAAAAAAAAATCAACACCAATTAATGCAATTAAGAAAATATCTTGTGTAAAATAATATTATAAAAATCGCACTTTTTTAGTTTTATTTAAATTATAACGAATTTACGTGTAAAACGGCGTACATATGCTAAAAAAAAAAAATTAGCATTTCTTAGAAAATACGAAACAAAACGAATACGCGAAAATATTTATTTATTTTTTTTTTTTTTTGCTCTTAGACGATAAAATCGTAGTTAATAAAAAATAATTGTAATTGTGGATTCAATATGGAGAATTCATTTAAATGTTGTACTTATATAAATCACAAGCAATATGTATCACAAATAAAATTCATCATATATATTTATATTTAAATTCTGTACTTACTATTTAAGTTATTAACGCATTCTTGTCTAAGCGCTAACTTCTTTTTAGCAATTTCCAAAATAATTACGTTGATTATTTATTTAAATAATACTCAGCTTTTAATCACATAAGTTTTTTTTTTTTTTTATTATAAAATTTTAATTGTAATGATAAATCAATAATCGGAAAATTGATGCGTTCACTTCATTTAGCTTGCAGTTTGTTAGTCAAGCGCAAGTTGCTTGCAGATTGACAAGCTGGCGTAGATAGTTGCAAAAGATCTGCTACGAACATACAAAACGATATGTAATCAAGCAAAATTTCATTGGAAATGCATAAAAAAATGAGGATGCATTGAGAGTCGTAATTAGCTGCGTGGAATGCCGCGTGAATACAGTTAAGTGAAACGATGCAATTACATATGCATTTGCATCTATAAGACAACATACACAATATTGATAAAAATTATAGCTCATCATATTTTGTTCAATCGTTGCTTGAACGAATCGGAGAAATAATATAAGAATTGACAATTCTGATGATCTATTAAGGATTTCATAGATAATGGAATGGTCTGCGACCAAGTCTTTTTTTTTTCTTTTTTTTTTAATTAAACGACTAAGCAATATTATGTTAAGTAATTTGCCGCAGTTGCTTCAATATCTTCTTCATTTATTTCTATTAAAAATTTTATACATAATTTTTCAAAAGTATATAAAAATTCTTTGGATTTTAACATATGACCAAGAGTCAAACATTTTGAAAATGTATTGCAATTCAATTTTAAGTTTGGCCTTAAAAAGGGAAATTTCAATTATTGATTTAGTTACCACAATACCAAAAATAGACCATTCCCATAAATTGTGACGTTCCAATTGGCTAGCAAAACATGTATGCAATTGCGCTTCACTCAGCTCAGAACAATGATGATTGTAGCCAACTTAAAAGAAGGAGCAATAATTCAAATAAATAAAAATTTATAATCGAATAGATAAACATACCACGATAATTGTATGGCCCTTTGGGCAGCCGCCTGCAAGTATATATCAATATTTCAATTTTCATTTCGAGTATTAATAAAAGCTGAATTTTGGTTTTTCCGCTTGTACAATAAAATCAAAAATAATAATTTGTATTGACTAAATGCCATTTCAATTTTGAAAGCTTTGATGGCCAGCCGACAACGTCGTCTTAATTTGATTCAACAGCGTGTCAATCATAAGCGGGCAATTTATTTGGAGCATCTAATACTTCCACGGTTTTCGGTGGTACTAACACCTCCTAGAGACGCTGTAATAGATTTGCACACAGAGCATGCATACAGAACAGAGACGTAATTATCATACAAAACTTTTGAGAATAAATACAAACACAATCAGAATCAGCAAATTTCTTGTGTACTTCTTTCTTGTGTTTTTCTTTGCATTTATCGAAAGTTGGGACATTTTTATTATTCATGTATATAAACATGTATACAATTGCATTGTCTGAGATATTTTTCATGGTAGAGGATATGTACGAAGTATGAATTAGTTTCCATGTAGGGGATATTTGGTCACGTGTGATGGATGTCTTTTACGGGAATTGATTTCAGCTTGTCATTTAGGACAAAACATTTTACAAATGCGAACCTTTCTAATCCATATCGAAAATGGAGATCCATATTAGAAATGTTGCTGAACGTACGAATACCAAACGCTATTGTTCTCATCTGGATAAAAGTCTATAAATCTCATTTAGGCTTTTTAAGAAAGACTTTCAAAAAAGAGTTATTCGAAGGACGAATGGAAAAACTGAAATTTATTCCAACTTCACCAAGATGGTAAATACCTAAGATGAATCGCGCTTTTCAAGAGAATGTAAAGCTGCAAGCAATAAAACGTTTCTATACCACGACCCGCAGAGAAGATTCATCAACCAAAAAAGCAGTTATTGCTTTTTGAACAGATTCGCTTGATGCAATCTGACAACGATAGGACGGACATTGCACAATGAAGGCTCATTCCTTTGAATTAATTTGATTAGGTTCATGATGTCTAGTGTTTTTGTGAACGGCAGATCAAGCCTGAAGGTAGGATCTAATTTTATTTTTTTGCAAGGGTAAAATAAAGTTTATAATCAAATTATTAATCACGTCTATATAAATCAAGGAAGGTACTCAGTTGTAAATAAATCGTTTCTTGAAAGTGCGAGTTTTTTGCATTTCATCATATTTAATGTTATTGAATAAATTTAAGATACTTTATGTAAACAAATTTTTAAATTGTGATAGGAATTGGAATTTACGAATGACGACAGTCTTACGGTCTCCAATGACTGGGTTAACGGTTATTTGATGCAACAGGATCTTCGCTAGAAAGGAAATAATAAAAACGCACTCTAAACGGTCGTTACAGAAGTACAAACTCAACCATTTCATTAGGTATGAAGCGAAGCCAGACAACCGCATCTGGAGTCAATCCGTACACCTTTTGGAAAAACCTTGAAATGTGGCGTGCGGCTGCTAATTGATTTACATAGAGATAGACAATTTGCTAAAATTTTGCAAAAATTATGTGAGCTCCTCAATAATTAGGCAATGGCTCGGTAATGCAATTTTTACAAGATAGAATAAGAAAGCTCCTCTTCTTCCAACTATTAACAATTAAAAATTCTTATTATATAACGTCAGACAATTTATCGGCACACGATTTGAGAATGCAATGACGGAATGTAATGAAGACTTGGCGACCAAATGCGATTAGTAATATTAGATCTTACAACATTTCACCCTCAGAGATGACCGATTTATAAGAGTGTTTTTTTGGATCAGTTGCAAAGATGCAAAACAATCGCTTGCAGCACTTGTTCTTGTAAAGTTTTTTTTTATTCCGTTATTGTATCCAGCATGCACTCATGAACTGCGAAGAGGAGTTTACCTAATTGAAAGGGATACAAAAATGACTGTGTTTAACAACGCAAAGATAATAAACAAATTCACTTTTATATTGGAAGGAAAAACCAAAGAAATTCCTTTCCGAATAATCTAAGACTTACTATTGATTTATGTGATAGATTTCACCTATCTATCGTTACGATCGTGGGAGTCTTAAAAATCAGAGAAAATTCGAAATATATATATGTACGTCTTTACCGGAATAAAAATCTTAAAAAGCAGAATAAAAGTCAGGGATGGGCATCGCTTCTTATAGAAACAATATATAAGAAGAAAAAGAATAATAATAATAATAACTTAATTGAAATTCACAAGCAAGATGAAAAATAAAAACGCGTTAATTTGAGACGAGTTTTCAAAAACCTTCTTTTTTTTTATTTGGGTGTTTTGCAACAACATCATGAAATGACACTTCATTTAGCTTTTGAAACTCATAAATCTTAAGTTTTAAGTTAATTTTAGTTATGTTTACTGTTTATTTGAATTTTGTGAAAGAGAAAAATTACGGTGTATATGTATATGAATGGTGCAATAGCTTGCCCCTTTTTTGTTTAACATTTCCTTTATAAAATTTATGCAAATATTCGTCAAGTCTACTTGGAATCTTTAGATTTTGTTGCTGTGGCCGCAGCAGAGACGGTAATGTTATCCTTTTTCGAACCGTTTGGTGTCTTTGCATCGGCAGTTTTCTTCGCGACTTTCTCCGCGCCTTTCGCGGCCGCCGCAACGGGAACAAATGAAGTTTCTTTCTCCTTTACAATTTTGTCTTTATCTTTGTCATCTTTCGATTTTTCTTTCTCTTTATTTTTTTCCTTATCCTTTTCTTTATTGTTCTCGGTTTCCTTATCCTTTTCCTTTTCCTTCTCTTTCTCCTTCTCTTTTTCTTTTGACTTTTCTTTGTCTTTATCCTTATTATCTTTTTCTTTATCCTTATCCTTATCAGTATCTTTGTCCTTTGAGCTAATATTTTAATTAATAATAAGTTAATATCAATTATTGTCTTTAATTAACAAAACAAAACAAATTCTCTTACTTTTCTGGTTTTTGTTCCTTTTCCCTAACGAAATAGGGTGTTACACGATTATATATATACGATAATGTGGCATTTTGGTCACGGAATTTGCGCTATATTAATTAATTTATCGAAAAAAAAAAAAAAAAAAAAATTAATTAATTTTTTTTTGTATTCTGTGCATATTATAAAATAAAAAAAAACATCATACGTACATTTACTGCATTTAAATCTTGATTTGTTTCATTTAATTTACGTGTAAGACTTTTAACTTCCGATTGCAAGTCCTTGACTTTACCGTTCGACTTGTGATGATCCTTCTGTAGATCGTTATGCTGCTTCAATAAATCGTTGTGTAGTTTCTCTAAATCCGAGTAATTTTTTTCAGTGCGTTTAATTTGATCGACCAATTTACCCACATGTATGACAGCACCATGATAATTAATCAGTCCTTTAGCCACAATATAAGAAAAATAAAAAAAATAAAAAAAAAAGGAAAATCAAAAATTTGAAATAATTTTTCTGTGCCTCATGCTAACAGCAATAACAGCATTGTCATGATTGCACTCAAGTTACGCAAGGAAGAAAATTAATTTCACACCTTATGGATAATCAGTTTTTCGTATATATATATTTTTCCTTTTAGATTCCCTCCCATATGTTACGCAAAATTTAACCTGAATTGAACTATGCGCAGATATAACTTTGATTATTCAAATTTTTATAATTATTATCGAAAGGTCATCAAACTTTCTACTTGAGTTTTATAAGCTACCAATCAAAAATTGTTACTAAATTTAATTTGATATGACAAAGCCCTTAATCTAAACGAAATAGTTTCTATTCGTTAGGAATTTTTAGCTTTTAAAAAATTTTATTAAAACTCATTACCATCTCTATCCTCTTCGATATCATGTTCGAGTTCTTCATCTTCTTCAACGTACTGATCGGATTGGGTAAATATATGTTCATAAAACCAATTTCCTGCAGCTATACGTTGCAATTCTTCTTCCGGTAAATCGTCATTATCTTCAATCGTTGGTACTGTGTCTAACGTTTCCTCTTTATCGGTAAGTTTTCTATATATGAAAAGAAATTAATGGAAATTAATTTAAAACAAAAAAAAAAAACAAAGCGTTTAAGTTTTTTTCAAAATAATCCTACCGATAATAAATTGCTTGGCGTGTGGCCAATTTGCCTAAAACTTTTTTAATTTGCGATCGGGACAGATTCAAGCCCAATATGGCGAAAAGATCCTCTAAATCAGTTTCGAATATGTAACCGCAATGAGTTGTATCGAAATAGATAAATGACAATAATAACTGAGGCTTTACGACAACAACTTTCTTTTCCTCCTTTGGCAATTCCTTCTCTTTACCATTTGTTGATGTGCTAACGCTTAATTTTCTTTTACGTGACTCGGATTTCATCGATTGCGTATCTTCCTCACGATCTTTACTAGATTTCTCTTCTTTAATGCTGTTTTTCCCTCCGCTTGTCACGTTATTTGTTTTCACTTGGTCACCAGCACCGCCGCCATCTTTAATCGATTCCTTTATTTTTTCTTCCTTAACTTTATCGTCCGTATTAATTTCAGTTTCCATTTTCTCCTCCTGCGATTTTTCAGTATTCAATTCATTATGAGTTTCTTTGAAAAGATATATTTCTTTATAAATATTAAAACCAAAGTCGCGCATTAACATCTCATTGAACAGTTCGGCAAACAAAGAAACCTGCAAGAGAATGTCAAATGTCAATTTTTAATTAAATGCGAACATAAACGCAACGATTCTAAAACGAACCTCAAAGAATCTTTCCTTCGTATCTTCGGGATGATAATCCAATAAAACTGACAATGACATGACGGCACAATCAAATTTTCCCCCTTTGGCATTTTTATTGGGATGTACTATGATATGAGGACTATTTGGTAGAGTGTAGCGTCTAGTTAATTGAGCCTTTTCTTTTTCGTCCATTTCCTTCGGGGACGCATCCTGAAATTATGATTTTTTTTTTATTTATTTTTATTTTTATTCTTTTTAATTGCTTTCAGTAAAATAAATAAATGAATAAATAAAAAACTGGAATAGAGCAGACAGCATAACATCTAGTCTATGCTATGTTAGTATTTGAATTTTTCTTTTTTTTTTTTTTGTCTTTCGTTCTAAAAATTTCTTCTTTTTCCTTTTTTTTTTTTTTTTTTTTTTGGTTCGAAAATGTTACAATAAAAGTCCGTGAAATATTTGGATGTAGTTTAGTTTAGTTATTTACCTCAGGATTTTTGCTAGCATCATATTCATCGAGTATGACAATATCGCTCATTTCAAAATCCATGTCAGCCCATTCTTCTTGTTCCTCGTTGTTATCTTTTTCATTATTTTGATTTTCACCGTTAGTGCTATTTTTCTCCTTTTTAACTTTTGCTGGCTCTTTCGTTTTTTTGACTTTTTCCTTCTCATTTGACTTGGTTTTGTTACCTTCTTCCTTCGCTTTTACTTCGCCGGCATTGTTAGTCGTATCGACTTCCATTTTATCATCATTCTCACATTCGTCGTCTTTTTCTTTTTTTGGTTTAATATCTTTAGATTCCGCATTTTTATATATTTGTTTACTCTGCTTTTTAGCTTTGAGTTCTTCGGCTTTTTCGTTATTTAATGCTTTAGCCAAACGGGCCATTACAACATTCCGCACACCTAAAAATGAAAATTATACGAATTAAGAAATGCAGCTTACTATTCTTCGTCTACGACGCCGTCATACGAAGAAAGATAAAGGCCGTCTCATCGGAAAAACTCATTTATTTAAATTGAAAAATACCAAAGCATTTTCTCAGACTTGACTTGAACGCAAATATAACAAAAATTAGATACTATCGTAATAGGTTGGTGGTAAAGTTCTTTCATATTTTATTCATGTACTTTGCTTTAACACAAATCCGAAAGAGATTTAATGTGATCTCCAATACTCGTATGATGAATGCCTAACACTTTTGCAATTTCTCGACTTGTTAATGTTGTTCGATTATTTTCCAACATGGATCGCAAAACATCATTATCGATCGATCACTTTCTTGGTGGTTCAGTTGCTCGGAACGAAATTTACTAAACCATCAAACATCTGACAAGTAATCCCCAAATCCACGGTAAATACATTTTTACAGTGTCATATATGCGCATTATCTACTGACATGTTTTTCATTTCATTTATATCACAAGTAAATGATGAAAGGTAAAAAAGCCTCCTTTTATATTATACAGCAGCTAAAAAAACAAAAAAAAAACAAAAAACATCCCAATGACTCACTAGCCAGATGTTTTTTTTTATTTATAAGAAAAATTACCTGCGTATTTAACATACGACAAAACTTTCCTTCTAACCTAATATATATATATATATATCTAAATTAATTTTATATACAATATAAATAATATATATATATATTACTAAATTAATTTTATTTTTGAAAACAGAGATAGTCGCAGATTATGTGAGATTGTGGTCGTGGGCGATTTGATCGAATTGTTTTTTAATTTTCTTCTTGCCGATTTTAAGGCCGATAGCTTCATTTTTGCGACCAGGGGAGTGTTTACCACGAACATTACACCTGATCAAGAATATATATATATATAGTTTATGGGATATCTGTAGCTTTCTTTCTGGGTGTTGCAGATATTTTCACAAAACGAATATACTCGTCATCTTTCGGTAATGGGTATAAACAAATTTCTCCTTCTATTCTTTTATCGAAAATCGACTTTAAAAATTTGAATTTGAATTGAAGGTAACAATTTATTGCATAAGGATTTTTATTTTTGCATATTTCAAATTTTATTAATATACGACAGAAAACGACGATTTATTATAAAACATATATATGTGTGAAGAGGATATTACAACCTGGATGGGAAACCTTCCAGACTTATCCGGAAGCCATGTAAAAATGCATTACAAAATTGATCATGATAAAATAACTAACACATTCACAATCAATTTGGAATTGAATTGGCGATATTCATCGCAAAAATAGTTTTGATTGATTAATTGAACCGATTGCAAGCAATAAAATACTTTGTCATTTTCCACATATTTGCATGGACTTGGCAGTAAGATCTAGATCAGGAGTTTTTCCTAATGTCAACGTTTATGTCAAAATTTCAAATTCCTTATTCTAATTAATTCAATAATTAAATCTTAAATTAAACGATTTTATATAAAAATTAAATTGCACTTGAACTGAGGATAGTTAATATTTTCTTTAATGGTGGAGAGAGCTATCCGAGGGTGCTTGTTCGATTTTTTTCGCAAAAATCATTTACGATGCATTTTTTGTTTTCCTTTTTCCCATTTTATCGTTTAAATGGGAAAATGCTTGGCATAAAAACTTACCCTTATCTGATAAATTACGCGCCAATAGCTCGTCACGTATCTCCTGAACTTTCATGCTTTTTAAATCCAATAACGTATAATGTGTAGGTTCGGGAGCTGGCTCTTCCTGTAATGATAACAAATATATTAGTATAAACTAGAATCGCTATTATAGTCACAACACATCTATTTAAATCAAAAATTCTTATATAGTTGAATATATCTTTTTGTAATAAAGAGAAGCTGCCTTTAAGAATAGCTGAGTAAGCGAAGTGACGAGTTAAAGAAGAAGCGGTTTCTAGACAACACAAAACATACTTATGCGAATGTTTCGTGTGTATAAGAACAGCTTGTAAAGAATTATTAGAGCATAGATTCTAAATTTAATGACTTAAGAAAAGGCAGCCTTTTTGAGAAGTATATGAAGGAGAATGATTAGATTTTCGAAAGTGACAACTGACTGTCTTCTGAATGACAATTCAGAGCTCAATATTAAGGATTTTGGAATAATATTTATGTACATATATATATATATATATATATATATACGTGCATATGTATATATACGTATACAAATATATCTATTATATATAGATATATATATATATATATACATATATATATTTACATATATTGGACCTAATTGATAAGTGGTACTTAGCATCATCTATAAAAAAAAAAAAAAGAGATAAATTTAAACACTAAAACTTAGAGATATTTAGCATATGTATATATAAAGATTAGCCTGAGTGTGCCTTTTCTTTTATGATTAACACATCACCGGCTTGGTAAGTTACATTTTCTTCAACCGCCTCCGTAGCAGCACCGGTGTCCGAGGAGATAGCAGCAGCAGCCTCGTCATTGTTAGAATCAGCCTCATCCATGGTAAATTCTGTTGCAGATGTTATTTCTTCTTCTTGATTAGCGACTGAAATGGTTGCACTTTCATTACCATCATCACCCTCAGCAACCTTTTCAGCCAACGTTGATTTTTCACCAGCAGCCATAGATTTCGAATCCTCCTCTGACGTTGCGGCAGTAATGGCTTTATTAGCGGCAGCGGTGCGACGAGCAATTGCATTCTCCACAGCAGCCTTATAGGTTTGTGTAAGATTTTGCCAATCGCTGATGCTGGGCATGCACGAGTGAACGTCGGGCAGAAAAATAACAACTGTCTCAACACGTGGAGGACCATCTTTCTCCATATTCTTATACTCGGTGCGATGATAATAAAGTTCCAAAAAGCGATACCTAGCACACAGCAGAGTACAAATGTTGAATTGCATAAATACAAACAACGTTGATCAGACCAGTGTACATCAACGTGAGACGACCAGACCACCAACACCAAATTAAACCAACATTTTCGATGAATACCCACGTATGTGTTCAATGACAAAGAACAAGATATGAATGAGATGTTAAAACATACATATCAGCGTAAATATTTGGGTTGACATCGATTAGCGCCAAGCGATCCAAGAAATCCATTCATCCATCCGTCCGATATCATTCAGTCACATCGTTGAAGGGTTTTTTATTTAGTTGGTTTTGTGTATTCAAATTTTTATATATTTTTTGGTATATATTTTTTTGTATGTTACCACCACCAACATCATTGGGAAGAAACAAATGTGGTGATGTTAGTTTATTGGGTTTATTTTGGTTTTTTTTATATTTGGTCGCGTATACGAACATGGAAAAAGAAAGAAAACAAATCATAAGGATTGTGACAAAAACCAAGTACTTATTTTTTTTTTTGTTTTAAGCTTATATTTCGAAAAATTATTAAATTTCAGAGAATTGGCTGAAAAAATCAAGAAATGTTTAGGTTTGTTGTGGTTGTTGTCAGATTAACCTACGACTATTATATATATATATATATATATATAAAAAAAAAAAAAAAAAAAAATAATAATAATTCTCCGCATCATATCATGGTGTCGTCGTATGCAACACCATGCCACAATTTTTGGGGTATTGCTAAAGGCTTATCTAAAATTCTTTAGTAATACCTCACGAAAAACAGGCATGAATAAATTCCTGAATTGTAATGTTTGAGAAGAACACACATATACACTGTTTCATTTCATTCAGCGTAATTTTATACGTCTACATACCATTGTGTGCAATTGGATAAATCAACGCCAGTTAGCGCCTTACAAGTACGTATAGCTGTCCGTATTAATACAGCCGGATCTTTATCAGGATTTTCACCATCGAGAGATGGACTCCAAGGTCCCCCAATTGCCATTGGCTCATTGCGACCTCGAACACCAACTAAAAAGCTGATTAAACGAGATGGATGCACAGCGTGATGATCGACATCATCATCATCTTTTTCAAAGCACTTTTCATACAATTCGGCAATAGTTGGCAAAGACAATAACATCACTTTAGCTGAGTATAAATAGTTCGCATCGCTCGGTTCTAAAAGTTCCGATTTTTGCTCAAACGGCGTTTCAACAAGTTTGTGCATTATATGAAATTGGCATGGACGCCGCATTGAAAAAGGATTATCAAGGGCAAATGTTTGCGGCCATTTAATGTTAGCGTGGAAAAAATCTGACGGTATGTACAAAGTTGAATAGCGCTGACGCAATTTCTGTACATCGGCGGATTTGCTAAAAACAAACATACGAAATATGTGAGAAAATAGTTGCATAAAAAGTTCTTTAAAAAAAAAAAAAAAAAAATTTTTTTTTGAAATATTAATAAAAAAAACTCAAAAAACCAAGAAAACTATATTCACTTGAATGAATACGCGAAAATCGCAAACTTGAATCACTGTAATCATCTTTCCCGATATATTAAATATATTTTCAATTTCAATGATCTTTCTAATTCAATCAAGAATATGTAAACGCAGTCAAAGTTTTCTATTACAAATTTATTGGCGAGTATTTTGTGTTTCTTACCTTACCGTAGAAACCATCAGTAAGTATATGGTTCCGTTCTTATAATTTTTTCGATTTTTTCAATCTTAATAGTTAAATTATATATTATTTTTCAAGCCAGATTCGAGGGTCCGTTGTTCTCACAACCATTTCATACTATCCAAGCACTCTGAAATATATTTGGGATACGACGAAAAAAATCGAACATATCTTTTACCATTTTTAGATCAACTGACAGGTCCACAATTAACACTTCAATTAACTAAATTTAAAATAATGGCTTAAGGTAGTGATTATAAAGGCCTAGCTCCTGCCTTATAAACATTGAGATGTTTTTAAACCAAAACAAGTAAGAAAATTATATTCGGTCGTGACCAAATGTTCTATACCCATTAACGTTATCTTAAAGAAAAAAAAGAAAGAAAAAGAAAAAAAGGAAGAAGAACTTCATTTTCATACTCTACAAAATTGCTTCGTGGATTCTGTTTCTTTACGTTGCCTTTGACCGGTATGCGTCATTTTCAAATTTTTTTGCAAATTTGTATACGATATCTCGTTTTTTGCGAACGGGACAATGCTTAGCACAGCTACTACACAGTTGGGCAGACGGACATACGAACATGATTAGGTGCATTTCGAGTCTAAAATTAGCCAAGAATTTATATGTTTTTTGGGGGGTTTTTGAGCATTACTTCTGGACGTTCTATAGGTGTAAAAAAAAAAATTCCATTTTGATAAACTACAATATTGGGCAGAAGTGACATATTTTTTCATTTTTGTAAAAGTACGACAACGTCGCCCATAGAATATACGTTCGAATTCTTGTAGATTAATCTGCTGTAGTTTATGAGGGATAACCACAAAACCAATTTTTTACTCGTTTTAAAAAACAAACGTGCTTTCAATTTACTTCGGCACTGTATACGCGTCCTTCAACCCTCAAGAACCTCAAATGTTTCTGCCAAATTAAAAGATTACAGACAGACGATGCAAACGCTTTGACAAAACGAATATATCCATGTCTCGGTGATGGTTATAATAAGTGCAACACGAGATCTGATGAAATTTAGAAATGTTATCATATATGATTTATCCACAGAGTTGGTATAGTAAGATGATCGAATATTTATTACACAAACAACTCTAATGGGCGCAATTGTAATTTTTAGATTTCTAACAATTGAGGTTGAATCCATAGGTTAATTTAACTGAATCTAACGAAAGTAAAGCGACTAGACCAAGACATGGTTTGTTACTCCAAAAAGTAAAAGGTGTTTAATCGATTGTAATGTTTTTCATTAATTGATAAAACATATGCTTGCTTTACTTTCAATAGGAAACGTGCACTTTGCAAATTTAAGATAGCAGCTGAGATGGGTATTGCAAAGAAATAAATGGAAAATGTATCATTAATACACGCCTGAGTTCAACTTACTAGGCCAACTGAAATTTGGGTATCTGCACCATATAGCGACGAATAGGGCGATTACGTCTTCCTTTAGTTACCAAACGCTGATGATCTCTTTCACGTGTACGTTCATTTTCTCTTTCCCTCTCTTCACGTTCACGCCTAGTAGAGTCATGACGTTCACGTTCTCTTTCTCCACGTCCAGTCGCAACAGCTGCGGCGCTTCTACCTTCAATACCGGTGCGAGCACCAACACGTTCACGACTTCGTTCTTCGCGACGACGTTTGCGTTCGTGTTCATCCTGCAATTCCATGCATATTTAAATTTATGTGTGAGTTTTCTTTCTGTTCTTTACTTCAATAAAAAAAATATCCTTTTATTATTTCTTTTACATACCTCATCTCTTTCCCTGGAACGGCGAGGACGATCCCGTTCTCTTTCGCGACGTTCCCTTTCATGTCGGCTATGACGATCTGCGCCACCACGAATCGGTGATATGCCTCGTTTCGGTGAATTATGTCTACCCAATGGACCACCACGTTGGTAATCATTGGCCGATATGGAATTGTAGCCTTTACCCGAACCCATCAATGGCTGCGGTTGATGTTGCATTAGTTGTATGCGTGTAGCGTTCCATTTAAATTGCCCAGTATTTGAATAAGTAGCCTCAAATATTACACGATCGCCTAATTTTGGTTCTGGGCCCTTGCAAACGTTGCGATAGAAGAATACTTCATCATTGACTAAGCCGCATTCATTATTGATTTTTGTCACTGTGCCAATGGAGTTGTAATGCTGTGCTTGCCCGCCGCCACCACCACTTCCACCACCTGTACCTTGTTGAAATGCAACCGGATTTAAACCGGTTCTGGGTTGCGGATATGATACTGATCCACCGCCACCTGACGGAAACATATTGCCACCAGAAGCCATACCGCCGCCGCCAAAGGCAGCCATGTTATTTTGTTGCGGCGCTTGCATAAACATTTGCGGCGGACCCTGATGGAAGGCACCACCCTGAGGATGTCCTTGCATTACATTGCGTTGCCAAGGCGCACTCGATTGTCCAGCAAACGACATTTTCTATGTATTTTTTTACAGTTTTATTGCTGTTTTAAATCTTTAAAAGCTTTTACAATTTTTTCTTTGAATGAGAAGAAAAAATGCCGACCACCTCACATAAAATATTGCCACTGTAAAAGGTCAGTGATGAGTAGAGTTGCCGAGCTCCTGCCGCTATAATATTTAGTCGATAATCCTATCGATAATAGTTTTATTATATCGCAAAATTTTCTATGTAATTTATAATATTTAAACGATTTCGATTTTCATTTTATTGATTTCATTTTTTTTAAGTTTTGTGTGTCAAAATTTGTATCGTGTATTAATTGCAGGAATTAGGTGAAATGGAATTGGAAACATTGCCTCGTCCCAGTCAAAATGCACTAATTAATAATAATAGAAACTATACCAAGCAACGGCGCTTGCTGAACGATATGCATAATATGCAATCGTACAACGCTTATAAATCTATCAAACCAGTTCGAACCAGTAAGTTTTAAATCTAAAATAATTGCGCCTTTTATGCTCATCTCACAATGCACACATTTTCTTTATAAATATGAGACCTTGTCAGCCAAGTTATTCAGCGATGTCTGTTACAATTCGCAATATCGTGTAGTTTGAAACAGTGGTAACTGACCGAAAAACCTGCTCACGACAGTCAAAAAAGGAAAAAAAAATTGTAATAATAGCTTTGCTTTAATAAAGTCAACAATTTTTAGTTTTTGCTTATTTTTGTTTAAGATGATAGAAATCCAAAATTCGCTCCAAAGAAAATGTATATATTCTTCTGTTTACATCATTTTATATTAATTCATTTATCGTAAAATTATAAAGTAATTGAATTCTATTCTAAAACAAGTTAGTGGTATCAAGGGGGAATTTTTATTGTCTATTATTATCATTATTTTTCATAAAATCGTAAAGGAATTCACAAGTTTATTATTACATTGTCAAAAAGGATATAAGATAATTTAGAATTCGGCTATGGGCTGCTTTATATGTTATATAAGTAACCCGAAGAACAGAATGAACAATTTTTATTCCAAACTATTATTCCAAAGCTTTTTTTTTTTAAATCTATTTTTTCTAGGTTAGTATTATTTAATTATATCCACATAAACAGATTTAGACAATTCGCGTAAACATTATGGTGTTATGGTTTCTTTACTCACAATTCTCCACGGATTCTATAAATATTGTGTATTGTGAAAATCTTTTGAAATAACGAAAAACTTATCGAAAAAAATAGAGAAATATTCTTGTTCGTGTTCTTCAAGTCGTATCAAACTTTGATACACATTACAGCTTATTTCTAAGCGATTACTGCGTAACAATCATGCCACACTGTTTGATTTTGTGGGAAATGTAATAAATAAAAAGTTTACTATATTTTACATATTTATCAACTAAAATTTATTTTATATACATAATTTATTGAAATTTTGCAAATGAAATGTGTCCCCCAGGCGTGGAAATACAAGCGAAGTTACCTTATGTCAGCCTCCATTGATTTTATTTTATTTTGAGAAAGACAAATTCTCTATACCTACTTGTTGATAAAACAATGGGAGATAATTTCGGTTTTAAACACAATGTTGCGTTATTTGGTTATCCGGGGCTAATAAATCCCAACAATTAAGTTCAATGAGAAACTGCGTTACCATATTATTTTTATAAGAAAATCGATATAAATATAAGCAAAAATATATGTCGAAAAAATATTATATTTATAGAATGAAGGACTTTCGTTCGACAGATATTGCAAAGTTGGGGAACTTGTTTTGGATGGTAGTCAAAATGTTTGCAACGCCCAAAAAGAAGGTTCAGCGGTTTTGACCATTTCCAAATTCGGAATGTACCGAAGCATATGCATCTGTTCGTCTATCCGTCTGTCCAGCTGTGTTGTATCTGTGGCACAAATCTACCGTTCGCAGAGAAAAAGATATCGCTTACAAATTTGCCAAAGAGTTTTAAAATGGCCCAAAGAGATCAAAGAACACGCTTAAAACACCCACATATCTATAAAATTAAAACTCAGAACATCTTTGTTTCCCGTGTGTTTTGCTCGTTGCTCATAAACTACAACAGATACGCGATATAAATTTTCTATAAAATTATTCCACAAAAATAGAAAAAATCAACCACGCCGACTAGGGAGTATCCACATTTATATATACGATATATTCTCAGAGTAAATGAAGTAAATGAAGTTTGGCTCTTTTTTTTGTAATCAGGAGTTCAGTTGAGCACAATGCCTGTTTTTTTTTTTTGCTGTACCGTTACGTAATAACATGAATTTATTTGCTAAAAATCATTCGAAAATTTATATCAGAGGAGACGGAGCTTATTTTCAAAATTCTGAAAAATGCAATAAATAAAATTAATATGATATATATAGTATAAATTTATAAATTTAGTACAAATATTTTAATTCAAGTACTAAACAAGTCTTAAAGTAAACATGCCCTGTCTAGTCCAGGTGAAAAAAAAAAAACGAATTGAACATTTCGAGGTCACGGCGGAACTGTCTTTTCAAATGCAATACAAGAAATTTTCAGAGCAGATCGCATTCGGCGCTTAAATGAATTGTTGGCAATTTAAACTGTCAATCTTTTTGGAATACAATGGGTATCCGAGATTCGTGCTAAGGCGTACATAGATTTCTTACCTGCTTTGTTTCCCTTATATTGTTTTTCTTCTATGTTTTTTTTTTTGTTATTGTTTTCTTTTTGAAACATCATCTAAATTTTAATTAATTTATTTATTTATTTTTTTTTGTCTTAAATTTGTTATAAAATTAAAATTATTTGCAATGGATCGTGAAATTCTACCTAACATAAAGGATACATCGCCTCTAAGGCGATACCCGCCAATGAAAAGTCATTTTGAATCACACAGAGCTGTTCATACGTGTAAGTTCAATGAACTATTTATGATCTTTTAATTATCGCATGTCTCTTAGTGTGCTTAATATGTCACATTTTCAAAAGTAGGTAGAAAGGGAGGGATTTGAAACAAAAAGTACGGTGTGCAATGTACGTAGCTCTATATAAACGTAAGCGTTTGCGAGATGGACGGACAGGATGAGGGATCGATGAAATAGAAACTATCTGTCTACGTAACGAATAGAGTCCTCAGAGAGAGATATTATGCGATCGTAATAACTTTTTCATATTACTCTTTAAATACTGCCGGTACCTGGAGTACCATATTATCCCCCTTTTAGGCAACATTCGTTGTGAAATTCTTTGCTGACTTATGTAATATCTTTATTTCGATATAAAAGCTCGTTCAGCGGAAGAAAATTTCCTTTCAAGAGGGGAAACATTAAAATGTGTTCGGTTTCGCTGTTCAGTTGCGATTGATATTGACATATATTCATAGCCTCTTTTCGATGCGATTTACAAGTCTTCCTAATATGAACTCGGACTTATTAATTGAAATCTAATCGTATTAATTCTGTTTAACTGTTACAGCTACCGAGTCAACACCCCGCAGTGAAACAATTTTAATCGCACTTTCGTATTTGGTTGTGTTGATATTATTTCCCGTTGCGGTATTCTGTTGTATAACTACAGTAAAAGAATACGAACGTGTAGTTATATTACGTTTGGGTCGTCTACGGTAAATAAATGATATGAATAATTATTTTGATATAACATAATTGTTTTATAGAAAACGTGGAATGTTTGGTCCTGGTGTTTTGTTTTTGTTGCCCTGTGTCGATGAATATTATAAGGTCGATATGCGTACAAAAGCATTTGATGTAGAACCTCAGGAAATTCTTACTAAAGATTCGGTTACGATTTCGGTGGACGCTGTAGTTTATTATAGTATACGGAATCCATTAGATTCGGTATTGCAAGTGGCCGACGTTACTGAATCAACAAGACTTTTAGCGCAAACTACCCTTCGTAATGTAATTGGCACGAAAAATCTTATGGAAATGTTAACGGCGAAAGAAACTCTATCGAAAACTATTGAAAAAATTTTGGATGACGCCACCGACGCTTGGGGTGTAAAAGTTGAACGCGTAGAGATGTGAGTACTTTACAAAATTGTCCCTTTAATTTTTATTTATTTTTTTTTATTTTTATTTCTTTATTTATTTTGTTTTCATATTGATAATATCTGCGCTTTTACCTATCTCGGTATATATTTGTAACCAGCCTGCCATCATTGAAGGTTTTATTGGTTTCCTATCTAGAGTTCTATGCCGGTTTAGATTTGATCAAACGTCCCTATTCGAAGCAGTTAAATATCAAAATACATTGAATTGATTCAAAAAGTATCGTAGTGAAAATAGCTGAGATAGTTTTACGGATATATGAAATCAAGGCTAGAAAAATGTCGTGATATTCAAATAAGTTTAGAATTCGCATTTATAGTAAGCATTAAATTGAATTTTCTCCGCGATATGATTATAATGGAGCACTATACGTAAAACCAATAAATTGTTGAAATTTTTCACTAATCATTTAGAGGAGATCAGTCTATTTTGCATTAATATTTCTTTCAGAGGAAATAATATTGATAATAGATATAAAAATGGGTTTGAAGCCGAGTATATCTCCTTTTAGATCTTGTGCTGGCAATGTTTTTTTTTTTTTTTTTTTGCATCTGTCGGTCCGTACTTACGAGCTCTATGGTTTTTTCTTAAGTCAAATGATGATTTTCCAAAAATTATTGCAGGACCGATTTGCGTCTGCCAACTTCTATGCAAAGAGCAATGGCTGCCGAAGCTGAAGCGTTACGTGAAGCTAAAGCAAAAATTGTAGCGGCCGAAGGGGAATTGAACGCATCTCGCGCTTTAAAACAAGCTTCCGATGTTATGGCTAGTAATCCGATTACCTTGCAGGTATCTTCCTAATTCCTCCAAATAAATGTATGTTTTTTTGCGATTCTTCTAATCTGTTTTCATATTTCGTTTTAGTTAAGATATCTGCAAACATTGTCAACTGTTTCCAGTGAAAAGAATTCAACAATTATCTTTCCCTTCCCTATAGAAGTTATGCCCACTAGCACTATTAGCGCAAAATCTAAATTTTGATTAAAGGAGAATTTTTACCTCAAAAATGAAAAAAAAAAAAAAAAACGAAACAAATCAGAAAATTGTATTCCCTTTAACGCGAAACTTGTGTTCTCGTAAGCTTACGTCAATAAATAGCACACATCCATCCTTTCGTTAATTTTGAATTTAACCGTCAATTCACTATATAGTTCACTATATAGTCTTTTAGAGTAATTTTCTTAAATTTATTTTATATGTATGTCGAGAGATTGCAGGCGAACTTCATTTTTCTTATTCAAGTCGGCTCTTGAATTTAAGTACAAATATATATATTTCAATATATTTCAAATATATTTCAATTCTCGTGAGTAAGCGAGATGGGCAACGGGATCTTGCAAAATCTCTTCTACAAATATATTGTTAATACTACTACCTTTTAATAATTAAATAATAGCAAGCAAATAAGTTTGCCCGTGAGTATGCAAAAGGCTATGGCTGCCGAACAGGAAGCTCGTCGAGAAGCTGAAGCTAAAGTAGTAGCTGCTAACGGTGAATTAATAGCATCTGAAAATTTAAAGTTAGCCTCTGAAGTAATGGAAGCCAATCCTATTTCTTTACAGGTTAACATTTATTTTAAGAAAAAATGATTTAACATTTTTCATCAAAAATTTTCCTCCATTTTTAGTTACGTTATCTTCAAACTATAAGTACAATTTCAAACAAAAATAATCACACAATTATTCTGCCATTCCCAACCGATTTAATTAAGAAATATCTCGGTAAGTCTTTATTTATTTATTTATTTTTTTCTTTCGATGCTCATATTCTCTCATTTGTTTTTGTTTCTTTCCGTTTTTTTTGGTTGTTTTGTTGTTTAATAGAGAAGTAACGGAAATTTCAACCTAACATTGTGATGGGCTGTAAGCGATTCATTACATTTGTATGCTCATGCTTCAAAGGGGAAACGAATCTCATTCCAATCTATATATGACTGCACCATTAATTAAGTAACTTTCAAAGAAGCAAAATAAAAATAAAAAGCACAATCAAGTAAGGAAAAAAAAAATATATTGCATATATTTAAATATAATGCATTACAAGATTTTATAGAGGAAAAGTATTTGAAAAGAGATGAAAAAAACAAATGAGAAATATAACCTCATAAACTCATAAGAGAAGAGTATAGCGCCCTATTTAGTAAGCAATATATTGACTTACAATGGAGACATATCTATATATATATATATATATATATATATGTATAGCAGAATATAGGAGAATGCAATATTAACGATAAATTATTAAGATTCTAGATTTTAGACGCGATCGGCAATGATGTTAATTAATGCGTCTTGAATTTCAAAGACTGAGAAAGCTCATCGTTTGCTTATAATGAACTTTTACTCGATTGAGTTTTCCCATAACTAATTAATATTTTACGACTTTTGATTAAGAGTGCATCTATATCTATTGTAATTAGCTTCGAGAGAGATTTACTTACGTACAAACTCCTTATCATGCCATTGCCTTCTAATAATCTAAAAGCGTTATACTTCAACAACCGATGGGAGTAAAGAGGTGAAAGTAATCCTAACTTTTATAGAAATTGATAAGCCAAACGCAAGCGGGGAGAGATAGAAAAAAGGAAGAAGATTAATTATATTTATGTAACAACGTTGTAATGGTAGGATGTTCACCTTCGTGATTTCTGGTTCATTCCGGATCATATTTCATTCGCTCAGAGTGCTATTAATTTTCTAATCTAAATCACTTGACATCGAAATCTGATAAAGGAAACAAACGATAACGCAAGCATTCTAGGACTAATGACCAACATAAGTTAAAATATAGGCAAAGACATTTTTTAGATTAATAGAACATGTTGGTATAAGTGAGCGGAAAACAATTGAGAGTTGCACTTCATACGCTTGCATCGTACGAAATAATGTTTTACTGTGCGTGGGAATGTGTTGACGCGCGATAAGGGATGTGATAAATCATATATTTACATCACTGTGAGATTTCCCTTACAACTAAATGCAAAAACGAAATAACATACATTCAATTCTTGGTTTAGTAAATAGTGTAGTAGTGTAGTATATAGTGTAAAAAAGTGTATTTGCTCTTATTGGTGAACCATGTTATTTCAAAATCGCGCAGGGAATACCGCGTAAAGAACGAATCGTCACAGTTCAGAAGAAACCAAAAAAAAAAAAAAAATGCAAAGAACTCAATAGTGTCTGAAACTTTCAAAATCGAAGTACACGCAACGATCCGAAAGAATCGAGCTGAGCGACCTTAACATCTTGGTAAACTCGATGTAAAATGTTTGCATATTATTTAGCAATTTTCTACATTACCATAGTAGATGAAATGAATCGCTGCATAGGACAGCTAAGCTTTTATTACAGCTGGCACCATGGCTTCGTTGAACAGTACACACTTATCCTTAAGAATATACGTTAAATTGCACGATAAATTGTACTATTTTCTGCGATCAATTATTTTGTTACACTAATTTGTTGTTCATTGACGATTTTTTATAACAATGCGGTATATGGAAAGCGATCAAAAAAGTGCTCCAATCCCAGCAGCTTGCATTTGAAAGAAAACATGTCAGTTCATTCAAAAATATCTCAAAAATTGTGACTTATAGGTTGAACATATGAATAAAACATCGATACACGGACGGACAAGCTTATATCGATGAAGTTTTTCTGGGTGTTATATATACACACACACACGCACAAACGTAATATATACTTTCACCACAAGTGATGTAGAGTGTAAATAGACCATACTGCAGATGGCTAAGGAGACCTTTATAAATGGATATATTTTCCCATTTATTACACCTCTGTTGTCTACAGTTACTTTTTCTTTATATTGCGTAACAAGATGACAAAATTATTATTCATTTTTAACGGTACTGTAATACAAAATAATTGAAATAAGTTTGCAAAATTTTGAAATTTGAAAACTAAAACTTGGCATATAGAGGAAAAGCTCCCTATTCGCGACCATTTCCCATATTCGCAGTTATAAATTTCTTTATTCGCGGTTTTTGACCAAATGCACATTCGCATTCAATTAAATTGATTTTTTTTTATTTTTTTTATTTTATCACCTAAGAATGGATCGCCTATAATACCCATATAAATTACGATTCCATATTCGCGGTTTCTGTATTGGCGGCATTTTTATGGAACGTATCCCTTGCGAATAAGGAGCTTTTATTGTACATTCTCGGGCATAAGACAATAATAATCAAATATAATTTCACTTATTTACTTACTTGTATTATTACGTATTATATTCAAATGTAATATTATTATGCAATTTTGTTTAACGAAAATTGAAATATTTTTTCTAACTTATGTTTTTCACTTTACAATTTATTTTTCAGGACGTTTTCAGGCTAAGGAAAGGATAATACAAATTACAGAAGCAAGATCCATTCGTTTTCTTCTTTTTTTTTTTTGGTGGCATGTGAAAGAGTGAACTAGAGAGCTAACTAGAATTATTTTCAAAAAAAAAACAAAAAAAAAAAAAAAAAATTGAATAAATTACTTGAAATGCAATTAATTATTTAATTCGTTTTCAAAAATAGAAATAAATGAAATGTTTATTTAGGGCAAATACTTTCGATTTAAAAGTAATTCAGAAAAAGTTTTCTTCATTTTTTTATTTATTTTTAGATTGTGGTAAACAATAGTAGCAATTCGTTGAAGGCAATGTGTTATTTTTTTGTTTTTTTGTTTATGTTTTTGTTTTTAGGCGTTCGCTACGGCTGGAATGAGTTTCTTATAGATTTCAATACCTTGAAGATAAGTATCAGCCTTAATAAATTCATTATGATCATGAAGTAAAACTGGAGTGTTATTCATGGGTGAAAAGCCAATTGATGGTATGCCGGCTTCGCGTATATAGCGGCTATCAGTTCCACCGGGGAAAACACGTGTACCGCAATGTAAGCCCCTGTTAAGTAGATTAGCATAAACGGGTAAATTAAATATTTGAAATTATGCGATTATATGTTTCTTTGCTTACAAATCGTCAAGACATTTCTTGAGTGCCAACCAATAAATATTTGAATCATCCAACTTAGTTGCCTCTATTTTGGGCTCTTTCTGTTCAAACTCAAGTTCGATGTCACCGCCAGCTTCCTTACACCATTGATTTAACTAATTTTTTTTTTTTTTTTTTTTTTTTTTTTGTTGATAAACATGTAATGTGAGAAAAATTGAGAAAAACTAACCTGCTTTTCAAATACACTATGATCTATATGTACGGCTAATCTTATATCAAATACAGCCTCCATTTGGGGAGGTATCACATTGCTTTGCACGCCGCCATTAATGCGGGTTAAGTTGACTGTAGTTACATCACCAATATTGAGTTGAGGATTTAATTGTAAGCGAAGGGCTTCAGCTTTGCGAAATGCCATCATTTTATCCAATAAATAATGAAGTTTTTCACCAGCAGTATTATTTAAAAGTAGCGAGCCATGACCAGCATTGCCGTTGATTTTAAAATGAATTTCTTAAAAATAATTATTTAAAAAATTCTTTTTCAATTTTAAAAATATATATGATATTTAAAAAAATACTAACGCCATATGCTGCGTTCAGCATAGAAAATTGGAAAAACTTCAGTTTCGGAAGCTAAGCCTTCATCTAATGAGAATCCGATATTAAGTTTTTTAAAATCATCAGTTTTAACAAAAGCCTCCATACCCAAATGTCCACCAATTTCTTCATCTAGATAAATTATTGTTAAAATATTAAATAATTTTTATCGTTAAGAATATATGTTCGCAATATACGCACCTGGTACGTACATAACATGCAGTGTTCTTTTAAGTGTAGCACCACCGCTCTTTAAAGCTCTTATGGCAGCCAAATATTGCATTCCCACACATTTCATATCCTGCGTTCCACGTGCATATATTTTACCATCTTTATCAATATCAGCGGAAAATGGCTTATGTTTCCACATTTCGGGAAATACCGGTACTACATCCATATGTGAATTTAATATTATTGAGGGCAGTTCTGGTTGAGTACCTTTCCATGTTATAATTACAACCGGTTTTGTTTCTTGAGCTGGATGATAAATTTTAAACGGCAAACCAAGCTTGTTGGCTTGTTTTTTAAGGAACTCGACGCAAGGTGCTGCAATGATAAAAAATACCGACTAGTTTTTAAAATCGTGTTTTCTTTTCTTTCTTTTTTTTTTTTTATATGCATGAGCGTGGAAGTACAAAGCTTTGTGTTTATGGAGCCATAATACTACTTATAATAAGGTACATTCTAATTAGGAACACTACGACCTTACTATGAGTTTATTGTTACTATAACATATATATATATATATATATATATACATATAAATATATATTATTTTAAACCAAAAAAACACCAGCCTAACCTCTCCTTTCATTTCTTACTTGGAACATGATAAACTGTTATAGCTTTGAATGCATAGTCCCGACTTCTTCCGTATGAAGCGGCTCCCAATTATTTTGCTCATTATTCTTACATAGAACAATAGTAGTATCTATATACATAGTAGATAGTAGTATCTATATATATATATATATATATATATATATATATATATATATATAGATA